ATGGGGTGTGATAGTCCCCAAAATTAGGACTGCAGGAGTTGGTCACCTGTCTATATCAGGTTTTGTAAATAACAGGTAAGATAGGAGTAAAGCGAAACTTAATGAGGAGGGTAACCAAACACTTGTTGTTAATGAACACTTAAGAAATGGAGACTTGCATACAGTTGTGTAATTGAAATAAAAATGTATGCTGTAAAGAGCTAAATAATTGTTGTTCACCCCCCACCCTGTCAGCCAACTCTTTTCTTAAGGAATCCTAATTTTTTTATATACATATTTATAAGACATCCAAGAAAACTGTGATTCTTTGGTTAAAGTTTCCAGAAAGGAAATAATACAGACAGCACACACAAAAAATGAAAAAAAGAAAAAAAATATATCATTTTTTTACTGGTGTAGCATCTCTGTAACGTTTGATCTGTATCTGTGCTAAAGGTAGGTGTAGAACATCACCCTGAAGGTATCTCCTGCTGTCAGCAGATCATGAATGTTAGCCTTGACAGGTATCCTCTGGTGATGTTATAAAGCATATGTGGCTTATTTTAAGCAAAGCTGTCCACACTTTTGTCTTGTCTTGTTGGAATATTCCTACTTTCTCCCTAGTGCCTGTCACTTTTTTGTTGTCTTTAAGATGAGAAATATCTTGTAAAATTTAGCTGGTTTTAATTGTTTTTCCTCCTGCTGACTTCTAAAAGCCATTACATCTGCCTTGAAAGATGTGTGATATTTTTACTGATACTGTAGAAGAAATTAGATTTTTTTTTTGTGATATAGTTAATAAATTCCAGTTATTGCAAACCTTGCACTTTGAGTGCTGTGTATCTTCTATACTTTCAAGCCTCAAATCCTGCAAAGACTGCCCATGACTTGTTCTGTGGCTTTCTATGGAACGATTTAATTACCAAGCTTAAAGTCATGCTTCTGTTCTTGTAGGGTCCAAGTCCACCTCTCTTTTAAAAAGCTTGCTGGTAGGGATGCTTGCCAGCGCTCGAGGATCTCTGAGAGGGAGAGAAGGAGCTGGTGCTTTTACTTGCTTCTGTCTACCAGCTTCCCATCTCCCTTACCAAACACGCAACTAACATGCTATTGATGATGTGTGGGAGGAGCAGAAAATCAGATAAATGAATAGAATCTGAAGAGTCCACTAATGGATTCCATTGATGTTTTTCCATTCAACAAGTAAATAATGCCAGTAAAACTTCAGCTGTCATTTAATGATATGTGCATTCACTTGACCACAGAGTGTCTTGTCTAAGCAGTTATGCTATGTCTTGCCAAAATCTTCCACACAAAAGAAATGAATGAAAGTGTCCATGTTAGCTGTGTTTTGCATTTGACTGGATTTTTTTTTTTTTTTAAAGAAAAGCTTCTCTCCTAATTATGTAATTGTATCTGAATATATCAACAATTATGACAGAAATACCCATTAAGTGTAGGGGGTAGTAATCTGGAAGATGAAGCAATCCAAAGGAAAACAAGTTCATCACACTATGTCAGCATCCAGCCCCATGTGATGTAATAGAGGATTAGAACATTTTTCATTGTGTCAATCCTACATTTGAGTGAGAGAGGCATCTGCAAAAACTAAACATAAAAAAAAAGTCTTGAAATGTAGGTGAAAACTTGAATGAGCAAAAATGAGGAGAAAGGATTTGGAAACACAGAAGTATTTAAAAAATAGAGGCTGAAGTAGTTTATCTGTTCATGTTACGATTGACCCTCTATTTTATTGGAAAGAGAGGGCATAGAGGATAGAGTGTGTAGCCTGACATACTTAAGGGGTGGGGGGCTTCCAGGCCATGCTCTAGAAGTAAGGTTTGAAGTCAGTCTGTGGCCTCAGCCCTTCCATCAGTGTGGTTAAATCAGGAGGGGTTTTGTTGTTGACCATTGCAGAGATTCACTCTGAAGTGGAAGCAAAGAGCGACTGTTTGCCTTTCCGTAGTAAATGGTGCTTGTATGACAGCCCGGATCTGACTTACTCTGTGTCTTGGATCTCCTAAATCCTTGTTCAGCTGATAGGGTAATGACCCGTCTTGCTAAAAAGCCTCTTTGTAATAGAGCTGCTGCTTCAGGGTGATGACTAGGGGAAAATGGTTCACAACTTAATGAACATCACTTGAATTTCTGGAGTTGAGCATATGTTTCTATTTCAACACTTATGTGCAGTGAGCTTTGGTTAATTTATTTTAGAGGTAACTGAGTGTTTGATGCATAGTCTTCATATCTTGAAACAAAAGTTATTTGTGAGCTGGGCAGTAGCAGAGAGACATAACATACTGAGAGTCCCTTTGGGATTTGCAAGGTGACCGGTGCCTTGCTGAGCTCAGCGTGGAACATAGGCAGTGCCTCAGGGGTGATGGAGAACACGTGTACAATACACTGTGGGATCACTTAAGTCCTGTGAAGTTTTCTCTTGCTTATCTTTTGAAGGGCAGCAAGGAGAGAGGTGCCAGCTAAAGGAGATGTTGTTGTTGAAATAGCACGAAGACTTCAGCTGAGTTTTGTAAAGGAGAATCATTGAACACTCTTCAAACCTTAATTTAGTTTCACATTAAGAAGGTAGAAGGTTACCACTAATGCTTGTCTTCCTTGGGACTGACTGTAGGCAGAAACCATACAATTAGCTCACCTAGATAACGTCAGGGTAAGGGCTGGAGTTGCTGACTCCCCATCATACTTTTAGGGCATTTATCCTGCTCAGATATAGGCCACACACTTTATTGATGGCAGTATTAGGCAGATACCTGTCATTTAACAAACTGAGACTTAACGAATCTCTGCTACCCACAGGAGCTGAAGTTCCTGCTCAAACAGTAGCTCAGCTGCTTTGTCAATTTGTGTCTGAAAATACCCCCCAAACAGAAGTAAATGGAAACAGCAGTTTAGGAAGAGAGACAGATGGGGAGGATGGTGCAGTGTGGTACATGGCAGAGCTCACGGTGGGACAGAATGTCAAACTTGCTTTTCCTGTTACTAGATTGTGGCTTTTCTATACTTTTAAAGATTCTTTTAAAGCCAGCGTTGTTTGTTTCTGTGTATTTGGATTGGCTTTGCAAGTCATGGACAAAGATGTAGGTGAGATGGTGCGTGGTTATATGACATATAACACCCGCTGAAAAGACAGCAGTTGATTACAAAAAACAAACGGAGGAGTGAGCACCGTGAAATCGAAGTTTAAATGTGCACTGGGTAGAAGCAGCATGATGGGGACAGCAAAGTGTGGAGCTTAATGGCAAGCTGCTCTGAAGTTATGGGACATCCTTAACTGGCGAGGGCCAGATACTGCTGACAAGTGGGGAGGAGATATCAAAATCTAACACACATTGAGGAAAATGCTGTTTTTAAATGTAGGCTAAAATTTCTGAACCTGTTTCCTTCAGGGTTGAGTTTCTTCCTCCAGCACGCAGCGTCAGAAGGCCTTTCAGTTTTCTGTGCTGTTGGAGGCTGCTGCTTGCGCACGTTTCTGGTGCAAACGAGGGCGTATTGCCAAAATGCCAGTGAGTTAACCAGCAAGAAACGCACATGGAAGAGATCAGCCAAAACCAGAATTAGTGGTTGCTAAATGGGTGGGGTGTGTAGGACCGTGGCTGGAGCTGTGCAGTCTGCAGCTGCTGTGTGAGATGGTTCTGGTGAGGCATTGCCCCAACAGTGGCAGCAGGGCTTGGGCAACTGGTGTGAGTACAGGTATCACAGCTTCCCCTTCTGCTGCTCTAGGCTGAAACAGGAGCACTCTAGCAGGCATCTTACAGAAAGCAGCATCCTGAAGTGTGATGTGGCCTTGCAGTTGCAAGGCTCAACATCTTTTCATGCCCTTCTCCTGCGAATCAACAACAGAGCTTCTTCTGGCTTTGCCTATGGGACCAGGACTTAGCCCAGCTTCTTTATCCTGCTGTCGAGAAGCCCCTGTGGGACTTCATCAATTTTTGTTGGCTTTATAAATATGTAATTGTCCAACAACTCTCCAGGTTCAGTTAGTTTTGATGTTTGCGTTGATTTATTGGAAAGCCAGCCATGCTCCTGTCTGGGTTATCATTGGCATTACCCAGTGTGCACAGAGGGCTGTGAGGGACCAGACTCAATGCGGGCAGTGCTTGCTTCCTGTGGGCTTTGGTACTTGGATGTAAAGTACTGGTTTTATTTATTTATGTATTTATTTGCCCCTTACTTGGGTAGCAGATCTCTTAAGCCACCCCTTAAATTAGTAGTTAGTTTGTGTTAAGCACATATTTTTACTGAGAGGTCGTTCTGAGGTATTTTTTAGTTGAGGACACACACACAATATAGGCATGTAAGCATTATTTAGCTTCTGCCTGTACTTGGTTCAGTGGATGGTTTTGTTTGCTGTGTGTGGGCTCTTGTTGCTGAGTACTTTGGAAGCGTCAGGGTAACTACTTCTGGTTGTTTGCTTCAAATTCATGTATTAAAATTCACTTCTCTTAGGCAGGGAGTCAGATTTCCCTGTTGCACCTTTTAATGGCACTTGGGAAATCCTAGCTCATAGTGTCATGGGGTTCTGCATCAACATTGCTATATATAAGTGCATGATTAACAGATGGGTGGCTAGTGATATGTTCCACTGCTAAAAAGAGTTATCCTAATGTTTTCAGTGGCAAAATATGAAAAACTACAGTGAGCACAGGTGTGGGAGAGCTGTGGAGTCTCTCACTCACTTGACCAGTGAAGTATGAGGGTTTTTCTGCTATCCTTCAGACAGGAGCACATTAGAGAGCTGGGCTGGCTAGTGTCCCTGCTTCATGCTCTTAAATTATATGTTGATAGTTAATCTGGGCATTAGGTGGAAATGCTAGGATTGGAAAAGATAACTCTATTCTGTTGTTGATAATTAGAATAAATCTCTATTATCTTGCCAAAAAACTTCTGAGTGTTTTGCATTAGTACCCCATGTATTTGTCACTGCTTTAAGTATCTATATGATGATCATTTATGCTTAAGGGTTTATTGTGAACTTAAAAACTGTTTTTGCATGACAGGTCACAGTAATGAAAGGCAGTAGTAGGAATAAGGATCATTCGACAGAAGGAGAAGGAACTGGGAAGCGACCAAAAAGAAAGTGTCTTCAGTGGCATCCCCTGCTCGCCAAGAAACTCCTTGACTTCTCTGAAGAGGAGGAAGAAGAAGACGAAGAGGAAGATATTGATAAGGTAGACTTCATTGGAAGTAGGAGGGTCACATTCTCCCAGGCTGTGTTTCTGTTTTGTTTGCTTCTTGCCATTCTCTTTTGTGAACAAATGCAGCCAATTAAAAGAAATTATATTGTACCCATAAGGCTATAAAGGCAAGTGGCAAATAACACAGAGAAGTAAATTATCAGTCATGCTTTTAAAACCTTGCACTCATCTCTCTTTTTCAGAGTTAGACTGTAAGAGTTTTAACTGGGTTGTTTTAATGACATATCACACATCTCGATCTTGATTGCTCGAGGTCGGTTTTTGACTTTTTATTTTTTTTAATTGTTTATTTTAGACATGAAGTTAACCTGTGCTTGATACCTGCTTCTAGTGGCTCTGTGCACATATCAAGCTAATAGTTTTCTTTCTTTTTTTAAAGATTAAAAAAATACAAAGACTAAAAGTGAAAAAGAAGGAAAAAGCTCTCAACAATTTGTGCTATCTTTGCATGTGAAATACAACTTGGCTTGCCTTCCAGAATACTAAGAGCACATGTGGAATAATTTGTCTCTGGTTTGGCAATTAGTATTTTGATATTGTTCAATGGTGCTGGCCTTACCCTTTTTTCATAGGAACCTCACAATGTAGCACCTCACAAATGTACAGTTAGATTATATTCTGTAACAAGAAGTGGGAATGGGTTATGGAGACATGATGTTTGCATTGTGAATAATGTTCATATCTATCTGCATCTCCTTGATTCCTTCCTAAGCAGGAAGGGAGAGGTCAGTACTGAGGAGACTGCCTTGAGCCACATACTGATAAGGAAGAGTGACCTTGATAAGGATAAGGAGCAGCAAGGATGAGCCTGGTACTCTGGCAGCGCTTTCTATTAACCTTACGGGTCACTTCCACAATGTGGTATAAAATAGCAGTGTTGCAGTTAGGTAGGAGATGGTTTTCTGTCTCATACAGTAATTGGTTTCATTCAGTCAGAACTAGTCTTCTCTAGCATTGTGTCCCTTGTAGGATGATACTGTCAGTGGGGAGAGCATATTTTGGTAGTGTGTTCTGTTGAGATTTTGGCTCTGACTGGGCAACTGTGCAGTAGCTGCACTGCAGCCCAGCTCACAAGCTGAGTAGTGAACGGCAGGAAATGGGGAAACAGCTGTTACCTGTGCACTTTCCTTCCTGTTGCAAGCACGATTGATGTCCAAGGTAGCTCTGCTCACCCCATCCCCCTGAGCTGATTTCTAGGTCGTAGGAATGGGGTAGGAAGGATCTCCTCCCTCCGGTGCCTTTGGGACTGTTACTAGAGAATGGTCTTCAGCTTAGAAATCTGCTTCAATTGCAACTTGGAGTTTAAGTCTTGCAGAGAGCATGAATGAACCTTGGACCATCAGGTGAGGAGGTTCAATATAGAACTCCAGGTCTTCCAGACAGAACGAATGGCCTTTGGAGACAGCTATGTACGTCTCCCTCGTTCACACACAGCATACGCAGACTCTCGGTCTCCATGAGAAGCATCAATAACTGAGTTTACCTCCCTTCCCTTTCGGTTCTGTTAGGTGCCACTCCTTGGTGGTGACGGTTTAGAGCAGGATGCTGATGAAACTGAAGATGACGAGTCCTCGGAGCAGCGAGCTCGCCGACCTATGAATGCGTTTCTCTTGTTCTGCAAACGCCATCGCTCTCTGGTGCGAAAAGAACACCCTCGCCTTGATAACCGTGGCGCAACCAAGATCTTGGCAGATTGGTGGGCTGTTCTAGATCCAAAAGAAAAGCAGAAGTACACTGACATGGCCAAGGAGGTATGTTCTCTCTGAATGGTGGATGTAAAGGGAGTTCATTACACATGTGCCTGTCTTCTGTTTCTCTGTGTATTAAATGTTTTCTGTGGGGTCTTTCTCTTCCCTGAGTTCCTCAGCTTCCACAATGGGATTATGGTGCCCAGAGCTGCTGCTGTTCTTGCTTTGATTCACTTGTGCTTTGGATCAAAATGAAAAGAAATTGGTCTATGTACACAAACTAACCTGGCTTTAGTAGTCATTGGTACAAATACATGCACAGATATCACCTGTGGCCATTGAAAACAGTAAATTATACAGTTCAGCGTCAGCTGACTGTAGTGATGCTTAGCTCAAGCTGTGCATTTGCTATTGATAATACAGGTTGCTGTTATAATACAGGTGGACCAAACCAAAAGCATAGTCAACACACATAGTCCCTTTTTACCTTTGATGCTAAAGAATTTAAAAATTATTAGTGTTTCATGAAGTACTCTCCCTGTGTATTGTTAACCAGTTTCTGATAGAGCAACCTTTAGTGAGGCAAAGTCCAATACTTGAGTCAGAGAGCAATACGTAGTCAGAGCCCTTTAACTTGGGAGCTAGGAAAAGATACTTCACAAAGTATCTTTATGTCAACTTAAAATTTAAATGAGGCTTTTTAAGAAATAGCTTGTTTGGTAATCTGGCTGCAAGAAGGCTGTGGATATCAATAATAGAGTGAGAGACACACAGCTGGTTACTTAGGCTGATAACATCACCTTGAAACAGATCCTGTAATTACCTGTGTGATGTAGGTTGTGCGTAACCTTTGAATTCAATCTTAGAAAAAGTAATGGAGGACCACTGAGAAAGAAGAACATCTCTCTCATTTGTCAAGTAATGCTAGCACACTGCAAAAAGTACAGATAGCTGTGAAATGTTTGGGGAACTACTGTTTGTATGTGCTCTGTCACCCAAAGTTTGCTGCTGTCAACACCTGTATATAAGGTCTGGCTGTTCAGTAGTTTGTGTGAGCATGGAAGGGTCTGCAGGAAAAACAAAGTGTTCTGCGTGGCAGGTCCTTTCTGAAGCAGGGTCTGTAGTACCTCTCTAGTTCCTCATCTGTGACACAGTGTTGAGAGACACTCAAGTCTCAGCTTTGTCCAGACATTCCTGATTTGTTCTGCATTCCCACTTACAAACTAGCGATGCTTCTTGAAATGTGTGGGAAAAGGGCAATCAGGGGATCCAGTGCAGATACAGAGGAAGGAAAGATGAAAATGAAGAAATAATTTTTGGAAGAAGCAAACCTGATGTGACTGGTTTTCTTAGCCTTTTGTCTTCCTGAAGGAAACTCATTCATTAAGAAGGAAAATAATTGCAGAACTTGTGTATGAAGTGACAGATCCGCAACTATTAATCATATTGTTATAGAAATGATTGCTCCTGTAGTGATTTATTTATTTTTCTTGGCACGAAGAACAAATTGCATATTCAACATCAAAGCAAAACAATAAATCTAAGTAGTTTACATCATTACAACTGGTTCCAAGAATGTGTAGAAGAGAGATAGCGTATAATTTTTATTCTTTAAACAGTTGTATGTTACAACAATAATTAGCAGCTGTAATGTGCTATTGAATATATTTGGGCCTTCTTCACCAACACAGGGCTATTCTGTGTGTGTGGATCAGTTGCTTTGTTTTAACACTCACTTTTGTAGTTAACAGTTTTGTAGTTACTGCTGAGACTGTCAAAAAGATGTTAATGTCAACTCTAGTGCAAACCATTTATTAGTATTTTTCTTTTTCCTAAGGAGAACTAATTTAAAAGTCAAGAAGGTAAATGCCTTTGGAAGAACATAAAATTATTTTACCAATAATCTTCTGTTTGAGCACCTCTATGTATAAGCTCATTGAGGTTTCAAATATAGTGAATGAGCTTCTGTTACTTCAATATAGCTTTTTCAGTGCCCTTTGGATTCCAGTTTTCACCACATAGCCTCTAGCCACTGCCCTGGCAGAGCATTCATCTCCCAAAGGAGCCCATGGCCCTCTAGCTGATAAATACTCCAGGTAGAGCCAGAAATGTTCTGCCATTTGTTAGCATGTCCCTTCACTGAAGGGAAAATTATTTCTTGCCACGCATAAATATGCTTCAACATTTTTAGTTACTACAATAATAGCAGTAGTATGTTTTTTCTGTTAATACTTACAGGGCTTTCACTACAACTGCCCTCTTTGGGGACAGGGAATATTCAGCTGCCTTGGAAAATAGCCAGCAAGTTTATTATTGTTCAAGCCTTGTTTCCCTTGCTAGAAAACACTTCATTTAAAAATATGTCCTTGCATCTGTAGTATCCAGGGAGCTGGGATTTTTTGCTGTAGGGAGCAGCCTGATCAATCCAGGCTGCTGCCATTCAGTGGCAGAGCTGAGCTTTTCTCCCTGCCAGTGCTCGGCCAGTGGTTTCTCAGGTACCGCCAGCCTGACTGGGAGGGTGCTCTCCTTGCTCTGCTGCTACTTTGGCACCCACCAACGTTCTGGCTTGCTGGCTGAAGTCTGGCAAGTTCACTGGGTGAGGTATGGACTGTAATGTGTAATGCAAACCCTGTGTCCTTCAGGAGCAAAAAACAGAATGTAGGATTTTCTGGGGATTTTTGTTGTTGTTGTTGTTACTCCTCTGGGATTCCTGTTAACATTAAGTAGCCAGTTGGTGGGATTTAAGATTTAAGCATACATTTTAAGTTAAGCACGTGCTAACTGCTACCCTGAGGTGTAGCTGGAATCCACCTGTGAGCTCCTGTTCCCACCACACTGGAGTAAGCACATCTTTTTCTATTTGGTGATGAAAGCAACTTGGGGAGTCAGTCGCCCTGAAGTGCAGCACCTTTTTTAATCTCAGCTCTAAAGTGACACCAGTCCTACTGAGTAATGCATCCTTCCCCAGGCTCTCACAAAACAGAAATGATGTGATCCTGGTGGGTCCCTTCCAGCTCACAACCTTCTATGATTCTATGATATATCATCAATCCCACAAACGTACCGTGTGCTTTTTTTTTATCTCTCCTGGAATGTCAGGACATGACCCTGCCAGGCCATCCCTGCCACGCTGTGTGGGAACCAGAGGTGGTGTCTGTGCATTCCAGGTTAAGGACTTACCTTTGGGGTTTTTTATGTTTTGCTTTGGTTTGGGTTTTTTTAAGTGACTCTAGAGATGTCCCTAGGCTGGCTGTGTTAAGTTGGTTTACTGCACAGTTGGTCAAATGGAGGAAAACAGTAAACTCTGCTGTTGCCTGTGGCGTTTTCTCGTTACTGTGTAGCTCATTTAAGTTATCTTCTCATGATCTGACAAGAAGAATCCGTCACTTCATTTTAGGCCTTGGTCTAATAGTCACAAAAATAAATATTGAAACTCCTTCTGAGATTTGGATCAGGCCCCCATATGTGTTTTATAAAACTGCTTCTTGGCCACAGTTTAACTTTTTACATTTTCTTTTTCATTTATCTTGAGTGTTGAAACTCTGAAAGGGGCCAATGAGTCGTCCTCCCTCAGTTTGCTCCCTCCCCTTCAGAGAGCACAGTTAATGTTTGCTTCTTGGATTTGCAGAGGAAAAAATCCATTAATACACCACCTCACTTGAATTGCTCCTGTTGGAAACTGATTAAAGAGCTTATCACTGCCTCATCTCACAAACGGCACGCATTCTGGTTCTCATTTGATGGGCAGCGTCTTGGCTTGTCAAATTAGTCCATAGAATGATGGAGTTACTCAGAGCAGCAATGCTGATATGAAGACCTTATGCACCTCATCGCTAGCGATCCTGTGCTCTTCATTCTGCAGGCTGGAAGCCTGATTTGTGAGTGGGCTGTGGCTTTAACAATGGAAGGCAAAGCTGCTTCTCTGTGTATTTCCTTTCCGCCTCTTCCCTTATCCCCTCCCTTTCCCTTCCCTCCACCAAGCTATTTTTGTGGCATGCTGAGCTCCCAAACCAAACTGAGGGAAAGGGAAAAGAGGTGAGGTGAGAGGTGTCGCAGTCCTTTGGCTTGCAGATTTAATACGTACACCCTGTTCAGAAAATACAGCCTGTATGTGGGTCAGCGGTCCCTGCAGGTTTTTATTATTTATAGCCATTTCTATAAATACAGGACTTCACACAGTGGGTTTGCACGGTGCTGTGGTGCTTGTAAACTGAAATGTTCTTATCCTTGCTACGGTCTGGAGGTAGCAAGTGCCAGCTGAGAGGTTAAGATGGAAACGAAAGTAAGCGCTACGCATGTGATGGTGATCCTGCCACGAGGCATGCGGTTTATTGATCTGGGGAAACACTGCGGTGACCCTGTCAGAGGACAAGGTTTTCAGTGCTGTGTCTGTATTTGATACCCAAGGGATTTCTTTTCCCCCTCTGCGTGTGTTTCTGTGCAGGCATGCGCATGAAATGCAGGTGCTTCTCTGTGCAGTAACTGGGACTGATGACAGCTGGGTGGGTGGGAACATGTGTAATCACGGAAGAAACTTCCTGCAGTTGCCCTGCTCTGTTCTTCAGGATAAAACTGCTCTTTTGGTTGTTTGCCACCATCAAGAGCTACCTAGTGCGTAAGAAGGGACTGGGTTCCTTCTCCCTGAGGTGAGCACTGGTTCTCAGTGGGTAGGCTCCCACGGCAGCCAGCGCTGTACAGCCCTATCAGTTGTCAGGCAAACACTTGCCGCTGGAATGTGTGGCATGTTCCTCCGATTCACCCATTCACCTCCTTACCTAACAGCATTTTTAAAATACAGAAATGTGAGCTTGTTGTCGCTGTTAACATTCAGTAATCTTGGTTTTGGTCTGGTCGGCAAGATCCTTGGAAAACATCCCTGTTGCATTTTGTGAATAAAATAGGTCCCCATCCTTTTCCCTACCCCTCAAACTCTAGGATCCAGACCTTTTCCCCCACCCCCTCTTATGTAGTCTGGCTCCGTTCATTTTGCTGCCTCATACCAAGAATATAGCAAACAACTGACACTGCTGTGTGCTCAAGGCCAAATAAACTTTTAAATGGTCTCAGTTTATTTAATGCAGCTGTGCAGTGTGGAACATTTTGGAGGGAATACTGGGAAGATGTATCAAAAATTACTGGAAATGAGGTGATACTGGTAGTGGTTTATTTTTGGTGCCTGGTTTGGGAAATCATATACTCAAATATTCTAAAATACAGAACTATTAGAGAAAACTGAGTGTAAGGTAAGGATCATCATGCTGCATTTATTGCTAAATGTATATTTTCATTTCATTCAAACTAAAAAGTAAACAAAGATTGTACTGGCAAAAGAGTTTAAATAACTATCTCTGTTTCCCAGAGAGTGGGCATACAAGCATTGGGGAGCAGTTTGCAGGATCAGAACTTCGGCCTGCTCTGGGTGATAAACCCTCAGGAAAGATAAACCCCACTTTTTTAAATACAGCTTTACTTATCTTAGTATTTCTTCTTACTAGATTGTGTTGGCGGTCAGACTCTAAGCATATGATTAAACTGTTAAAAAATCAAGATATTTAAGGATTATTTACTGTATTAAATCCTCTTACACGCAGTGCACTCTATTGCCCTGTGGATAGTACAATCTTGTCACGACTGGTAATTTTCCTTTCTTTTCTAGTACAAGGATGCATTTATGAAAGCAAATCCAGGCTACAAGTGGTGCCCCACAACAAACAAACCGGTGAAAACTCCAACATCCACAGTTACAAACAGGAAAAAGATATGGGCCTTTGCATCCGATTCAGCAAAAGATTTACCAAGCCCAAGGAAAGTAACAAAAAGCGAAGAAATGCCACAACTTAACTTTGGGATGGCAGGTGAGATTTCCATCCACGTTACTCAGATGTAGCATCCTCATTTTGTTTGAGGATGCTGTGTTGAAATCGAACTGTGCTACCAGTTTTCTTTACTCCACATGGTACTGTAGTGCAAATACCTTTCATGTCCCAAATAAAGTTGCCAAGACTCTAGTTAAACACGCTGCATAACAAGTTCCTAAAATTTTTCTTCAGTGCATGATTGCTTTCAAGAGTCGAGTCAAGATATATGGCATCATAACCCCTATCCTATTTAGGGTCCAGATTTGATTGATTTTTAATTCTGGCTTATCTGCTGTTGGAGATTTTTATTTTCTAAACAAAAAGGAAAATGCTGATTGTGTGCATTCTTTTTCTCTTTCATACAGTATTGTACTATGTTTAGTAATTTTCTGTTTACAAAAATAATTCATGGGTGTCTATGAAGTGGAGATGTTAACGTTCTTGTGGATGAATGTACTGGTAGAGCTATCTTTTTGTATTTAAATCAAGAAGAGCATAATTTAATTTCACTTAAAATATGCTCTTTTGCCCATTACACCTTGAAGGGGTGGATTCTAACTTTTTAAACGTAAAAAAAAAAAAATCAGATTAAAAAAAAAAAAATCCTTTAATAAGTATAGGTGGAACGCCTGAACTGGTGAAAGGCAGATAATCTCTCACTGATACCACAAATAGCAGAACTGTTGTGATCATGACCTTGAAATACAGAGATGTTAATGTTAAATACTGGCAGCTTAAGTACTTAACAGTCAAGGTATAATTTTTTTTCCCCCCATCCCCCCTCCCCCCCCCCCCGCCCTCTCTTTTTTTATGGTTTAAAGTTTCTAATTTTATAAATACTGATGTATTTGAAAGTTTGCTGTATCCTATGTAGTTTATGACAAGTGTGTGACAGATAAGACTTTTCTTCTCAGAGAGGTTTTTAGCTGGAGAGTGGAAAATGGTTTTACAGAACAAGTGTAAAAGGATAAAAAGGGATAAAAAGGCATGTATACCTTTTTGCCAATGTAGTGGTATGAAAATGCCTGTAATGCAATTCCTCCTGGCTATGAAGGAATTGTGAAATGTGATAAAAATAAAGTTTTTCATGTGACATAGTTATGTTATATGGGAGACCAGTTCTAAAAATTGCAAGCCCCTTCAGCCCATTCTGCTTTTGCTATCAGAGGAGTAACTACTATGCTCCTTATAGGTTTATTGACTTAACACAAAGAACAAGTAACAGGTGTTGGTCTACCTGTCTGCCATCTCCCACCACTCTTGCTGGGCTATCCAAATGTCAAGTTTCTGAGAGAGATCTTGAATCAGAGCAGAGGACAAAGAACTTAAGAATTAATACAGAGAGATCGTGAATCAACACCTGTCAGAGCAGAGGACAAAGAACTTAAGAATTAATTAGAAACTAATCTAGTCCGTTGTTTCATCTATAGAGCCATTTGTTTCTGAAGCAGGCCCTCTTTTGTGCTACATGTGATTTAATTTTGTATTAATACTTTTTTTTTTAACTGCAGACTTGAGTCAATGAGCGTGTTAATTCATAGAGGTCTCACTCCAGTCCTCATGCCAGCAAAGACTGTCTATTTCTTGAGTATAACAATAGCTCATAAAATAAGGACAGCTTCTGACAGAGATGTTAGCAGCATCCAAATCATGACAAGTCTGCCATGCCAAATGGGTTACTCCTTTGTCACCTATGTACCACTTTGTGCTAAATACATTTTATTGTGATGTTCTCTCCTTGACTTCATGTTGACTTTGACTCCTGTATCCAGCACAACCTCTTTTAAAATCCAAGCTGCATACCAGCTGATGAACTAAAATGTAGCTAAACCACCTCAGAAACACTTTTACCTTTGAAATGCCACTGACTTGCACCTTCAAGGCAGATAGCTTCCACAGGACAGGGATTATATGATTCCAGAATCATTCCAGGAAATCTTTTTTACTTGTTGGTAGTTGTTAATCCTGTCTTAATTGCTTTTTACATATTACATTTCATTTTGGAAAATATTATATATAGAGAGTAAGATCTTCCTTTCTTTTTTTTAATTCCCACACAGACCATATCTCTCCTTTAATTTTGGCATTCCAGCAATAACCACCCCACTTTTAAGTCTCTCATGTTGACCTGTCTTTGTGTCAAGAACCTGAGGTGTGACACCAGCACTGGGCTTCTGACCTGCAGACCCATTAGTGATGTCCTTACTCATCCAGCCTGGAAGCTGTCATTGAGCAAGTCTTTCCTCATGACATGGCTCACCTGTGATCTTTCGTAGCATGTAGGGTGTAACATGACCTGTATCTACCCTCACAGCTACAGAGCTGAGTGAGTGACAGCTTTCCTATACAGTTGTGCAGGATTCCCAATACTTCCACATTTCTGCATCAGAATAAAATCATCTGAGCCAAAGAGCTTTTTAGCTCTTTAGTGAAGCAAAGGGTGGAAAAAAGACACTTCCTAGAGTAGGCAATATCCTGATAGATACACATTTTTGGGGGGTTTTAGACAGAAGCTTAATTCTGCACCTAGGTCGAAGTTAGTTGAAAGTGGTACCTGCTGGCTTTCTTCCTGCTTAGTTCTTCCTCAGTACCTTCTTTCCTCTGACTGAAAAATTGCGATGATGAACAAGCCAACCTGCTGCCTATCTAACCAGACCAATACTAACAAACTATATTGCTCCCACACAGGGAGATGGTTTTAAGTTTCATCAGTATTAAAAGCTATTGAGAAAGTCACAAATCTCCTCCTGTTCTCTAAGTCAAATGTGTATGCTGTTTTCTCACTACTGTTGATTTAACTGTAAATTGCTTTAAAATAGCACTTCAGATTCTTAATTCTTCATACCAGTAAGTTCTTAGTGCCATAAGAGAAACATTATTGTGCTGAGAAGGCACTATAAACATATGGCAGTGTTTGCATATGTACATTTTGTCTTCCCTTAAATGAAGTTATTCTGTAATTTGAAACCTTAGTAGAAGGATTTTTGGTTTTATCATGATCAGACATCTAAGCACCAGCCCTCTGCTACAGCTGCAGCATAAGTATGCACGTTCTTTAAGCACCAAATTAAACTTTCACTTTCCACTTAGCTGTCATTTTTTTTCCTTCCTTTTAATTTTTATATTTAAATAAACAGTTTAAGTATTTGCTTACTTGGGGAAAAAACAATCCTATCCTTGTCCTGTTATGATAAGTTACATATTTTGAAAGGCAGAAAGCTGAGACCACCAAGAAGATATTTAGAAGAAAGGGAAGAAATTTAGAGCCATAAACTGGGTGTTCTCCAGGAGGGGGAGGAAGACCACAGGTAACTAAAGTGAAGCACAGGAGAGCAGCTGGGAGCCATCAGCGTGATGTGGGCATAAGAAAGTTCTATACTGCAGTGTGTCAGGCAAAGTGTTTTCAGGAACTATGGAGAAGAGTTAATGCCATTGAGCAGAGCGTAGCTCATCTGACGTGGCTTCATGTACAAGAAAGGTGAACGTCGCCTGAAATGGTGAGAGGAGAGCTGCAGGGATCACTGGGACCATGGGACATGGACATGCTTGATGACCTTAGGAGATCTTGATTTGCTTCAGCTAGGAAAGCAAGTGGAAGAGTAGAGTGACTCCTGTAAATATGGAAAAGGGAAATACCATTTAGGGAGAACAGTTACTTAATCTTAAAGATATACACACCAGAAAAAATGTGTATCACCTGGCCCTGCGTAAATTTGAGCTGAAAACTGCAAGAAAGTTCTTAATGCTTAGGAGATTTGGGTTCTGCAACAACCTTCCAGTGGGAATAAAGGAAGTAGAAAGCAGCCAGCCGAGCCCTTTACTGTTTAATCTGGAGCTCAGTAAGTTTATGATGGACCTGGAAATCTCTTCCCATTTCTCCTTCCTCCAAATTAACTGCCTACTCAGGCATTATCTTTCAAGAAACTTGTTCACTTGTCACATCTTAATTGCTCTAACGTCCTCTTGTTTGAAGGACTGAATTGTTTCTGATCAAGTATTTTGATGGCAAAAAGTGCTGTGCTGACAGTATAGCTTCACTTTTGAATTGTGCTTAGGTACTTGCTGTACCTTCCCATTTTCTGTCTCCATTTCTTCAGCCACTTCTTGTTACTAGATCCTACACTTCTGATAATGACTTGTCGCTTTGTAGAAACTTAGCATCTTTTGTTCCTTTTTTTATTTAAAAGTAACAAAAAATCCCCCCACGCACCTTCTACCTGTTTATTATGGTACAGGAAAAAAATGAATTCCAGTTGAACATTGGGTTTGAAGCCAGATGCTATTTAAGCTGTGTTCTTAAGATAAGCCACTCTTCTGTCCTTGAGATAGTGGATGACAGTTTATTCTGCTTTCCTCTGCTTCTATTTACTGCTGTTTTAAGAAAGTATTGAAAAAAATGGACCCTGTGAATGTCAGTGTGAAGTGCTGTTTGAGGGAGAACTTTTGACAGCATCTGTGGTATTGAAGTAAACAGCACTAGTGAGTATTCCCATGAACTGGACCTTGATCATCTGTAGCAATAGATCCTTTGGAGGTTTACAGGTACAAGTTTGGCACGTGTCAGCTGAAGAGCTCAACAAATTCCTTGGCACTGCTCATGAGTGGGAATGGGCCAGGGGATTTCCCAGTGGACTTTTTTGGATGCAGCTATTCTGCCTTCAAATTTTGCACAACAAAAGGCAACCAAATGGACAAGGGTAATTGTGCTGGTTGGCCTCCATTCCAGGGTGTGATCCTAGGCACATGTAATTTATTGTTGTAAAGATGTTTTTTGTATAGTTTAGCGAAAGGAAATTGGAAAACACGAGTTCATGCTTAGTGAAACCTGGGGAAAGTTACTTATTTGTGGTGTCCCATTACTAAAGTTGGTGGCTCAGCAGCACAGCAAGGATAATGCTTCCCTTTCTCTCAACGTTGTGGCTGTTGTGTGAGACATTTGGGCAACAGACTGTCTCACTCTCTCTACATGACACTGTTAAATTGGGCCCCTGCATTGCTTCCAAGGCACACCCCCAAAATCAGACAATTCATCTTCATAATGATGAAGAGCAACCACTATTCTGAGTGGAAAAGCCACTGTTATGAGTAATGCATTGCCAGTGTTCATTGCCTTCACTTCTTGTTGTCATTTTTCGAGGTCCTGAAGTGTGAGAAGGCTGGAGGCAAGAAGCTGTCAGCATCAAACACTTGGAGAAAGAACATTTGTATCTCCATTTTACTTTCCTCAATTATGTATTGTATTGGCAGGGCAACAAGTAGGCAGGCAGCTTGCCTGGCCAGTGCCTGCACTGTGCTGGCACAGAAGATCAAGCACTTCATGCTTCAGAGCTGTCAGGCTGGCACTTTTCACCACTAAATACAGCTCTAAATTAAAGCAAAATGAAAATATAAATTTTCCTTCAGAGCTTGATCATGTAATTTTGTTCCATCCTTTTACTTGTTCAGTGGCTAAGGGAGGGAACCACTCCCTCAGTAGGAGCATCCATTGAGTTATGAACATGTGCAGTATTAGAGCATCTTTGTGTATATTTATGCATGAGATCATTACAGTTGCTGTTTTAAAGATACCCATCTCTGTAGTACATAAAACCTTTGGCAGTAAAATTGTAAATCCACGCAATGGGGTGTTAAGCACACAAATCCAATTAAATCCTTCAAACAGCTTTGAAAGCCTCTCCCAGAGGGTACAGAAATGGTTATTTGTGATTCTCTTGAACTGCCTTTTATGGCAACTCGCTTAGAGTGTCTGTGACAAGTACTCTTCTGGGGGTTTAATGTTGCAAATGGTAGGTTCTTTAAACAAGCAAATGAATAAACTTAAGACTTGGTTATACTCTTTTTAACAGATCCTACACAGATGGGAGGCCTGAGTATGCTGCTTCTAGCAGGGGAACACGCCCTGACTGCACAAGAGGTAAGGAGCTCTCTTCTATCCCTTACTGTGAGCCCTCAGTTTAAAAAGAGCTCTGAAGAGGAATATTTGACCAATGGGAAATGAAATGTAAGATACATCTTGGGTAACCTCAGGTGGAACTGAAGGGTGAGCCCTGTGATAAGAGTCTTGTATCCCAACTGTGAACATAGAGATTGGGCCTCGTTTTTATATCAGTTCAGTATTAACTCTGCTGATTGAATATTTGATCAAACCAGGCAAGTCTGCGCCGTGAGAGGATATTGTCACAGGTAGAAGGTGAAATACAGTGACTGTGTTAGCAAATGGGTGGTTTGCAAGCCCTTTTGGGCAAGGATTTCATATGCTTCTGTAATGCCTCACACAACTGTGGCCTTGGCACTAATAGTAAAATTAATACCTATGGAAATTATTTTCCATACACTCGAGGTCATTGTATATGCATTCTGAAACCATTCAAGTGCTAACAGGTAATCAAAGTATTGCAGTCTACTCCTATTCACTAAGTCTTTCTGTCTGTAAAGTTGTTTGTAGTTCAGTAGCCATCACAAACATTTTGTTTTTACGAAGAAGTCTAGTAGATAAAAGTGATCCTGCATATCTCCAGTAGTGCAGAGACCTCTGGTCTTTCTTTAGACTGATTTCTATTCATGATTTATTTTTTGCTGCAGCTTTGAAAATTGTTCAGAAGGTGGCTTGTATGTTGGGTAAAATAGGTAGTCACTGCCTGGAAAGAAGAGCAGTGGAAGTGAGGAGGGTTTCTTTTCTCTTTTTTTTGTTGTTACTGGGAATAAAAGCCATAATTAACAATATGTGATACTCCCAAATGCAAAATGTCTAGTGTATTTGAGATGGTTTGCTCCTGTACTGCCAAGACTCCTCAAAGCTCTGCAGACCAGTTTGAGCACTGGAAGTCTTTGTGCAGATGTGGGTACTGGCTTTCTGGGCTGCAGCATGACAAGTAAGAAACACTAGAGTTAGATTGGCAGAGAAGTGAAAAGAAATGGATTATTTTGTGCTAAAATGAGAATGTCCTGTCGTTTCCAAACTCTGAATCTCTTTGCTTGGAGTTTAAAAACTGTCTTTACTATGCTGTTATGTTTAAGTGAGGGGGAAGGTGTATTGTAGTCACAGATACTCAGTTCCATTAAGAAGCATCTTTGCTATGACCTTGTGAGTTGAGCTTTCTTGATTTTACATGAAAAGTGCCTCAAGTAGTACGATTTCAGATGGCTGTGAAGGAATAAAATCTACATGTGGATTTAGAGACAAATCAAAAAGGATTTTATATGATTCATTTAGTATATGAACATTTTTTTAATCAGGACTTTATTTTTTTTGAGCAAAAGACTCATTTCCCATGCACCTACATAAACCCCATTTTTTTCTGATAGAAGCCTACAATATGGCTTGTGATGTAGTTTTTACTTTATGTATGAGCTATACTGTGCTATGCTCTTTTGGACCCATAGTCTTCTTTTGAAACCTGTCCCTCCTCATCAAAGAGGCAAGCTATATAATCTGCTTTCCCCCAAAATGTAGAGGAAAATGATTGCCATAAATACAGCCTGAACAAAACTAGTTGAGGGATTGTTGGCTGTTGTTAGAATCATGATGTGCCAGCAGTTAGTCCATACTTATTAATGAGTTACTGTATTTTAATTGTCCTATGCTATCTGAGAAGCAGGTGAGTGTTAGAGCACTTTCCCAGGGAACAAAAGTGCACATCTCAGATTCTTTCAGAGGGTCCCCTGTGTAAAATACATCCTCCAGAACAATCTGGGTGCTTGGTATTCTCAAAGGGACCCAAAGGGATGAAGTTCAGTCCTCCTGACTGCGTGTCAGCACGAATTAAGTCTCTAGTTGTGTTTCTGTGCACTGGGAAACTTCCTCAGTTTTTTTGCGTGGCAGCCCTAGCGTGTCTTCTGTTTTCCTTTGTTTCCTTTTGATTCAGCGTTTTCGTGGTGATTAAACCCAGAACAAATATTTCTTAGGCTTGTCTTTCCCCAAATGCAGTGAAGACCCTTAACCTATTTAGACTTGGATAACTGAACAGCACTCCTGGCTTCCCATCTTCTGGCATGTGGACAGAGGAGACATAAGATGTTCATCTTTGCATGCCTATGGGACAACCTCTGCTTGGATTTCCATGCTTATGCTTGAAAACAGTTTCATGCTCAAACCATTGTTTGGGAGGTTAGCAGAACATGTTAGGAGGTGGTATGACAGGCTCGCTAAGAAGCTGAAGAATTCATTGTAGAATTGGTAAGCTGCTTTCCTCTTCAGTGGAGAGGGCTTAGTTGTGTTGTGTTAGAGTTGGTGTTGACATGAGGGAGGATTTGGTGTACTGAGGTGACTGCTGAGGTATTGTCAGTGAAGAGGTTCAGAAGTTGCTTAACTGTGGAAAATATAGGTGTTGTTTTTATATGCATCTAAGTATATGTTGCATATCTAAAACCCTGGCATTTCTACTTTTTTAAAAACAAGGACAGATGCAGTGTCATTTTTAAAAGAATGCTGTAATGACATTGTGTAGTCTTCGTTATCTATAACCATGCGTGTGTACATGTAAGATACATGTGCATATATATGGTTCTTAAACTGGGGGACTGCCAGACATAAGATTACCTGTCAACGTGCAGTGTGACTGCTTGTGCATGTGTGTGATTACGCAGACTTGAGTGGCCTTGTAAGCATAGGTCTTAAATACCATTATCACCTTAAAAATAGCTAATAGAAAGGAGGTGCAGTGCTGGCATAGTTTGCTCAGAACTTGGGAGAAGATGAGGGAAATTATATTTAAGAGGTCTGCTAATCCCACATAAATGCATTCAATGCCCACTGATTTTCTGTCAAGTGTATGTTAAATGGATATAGATATATATATATATATATATAGGGACTGGTTAAGGCAGGTGTTTAGCCTTCAAGTTGTCGGAAGCCTAGACATCAGGTAATGAACAGGCATCAGCAGGAGGATGGGAGGGGGCACAACAGCAGTGTTTACAAAATTGCCTTGAGCCTTCAGTCACCATCTCGGTGTGTCACCAACTATGTTCCTGTTTTTGTAATTTTTTCAGTAGACCAGAGAGTTTTTTTAGAGTGTCAGTACATGATTGATTTCCAAGCAACAGCTGGAGTGAGTAAGCAGATAGACAGGAGAAGCTACAGGCTTTACCAGCAGTAAGTGAAAGACTTGGATATGCAGTGAGTTCCCACCTGGCTTTTGGGTCTTTCCATCAGTTCCACAAGCCTGGTATGTGTATATGAGCATATTTTGTTGAGCAGAAATGCCAGACGGATCTGCTCCAACTACTCTCCTTGTGCCTAGGCAAAGCCTGGTCCTCGCAGCGGGGTTGTTAGCAGAAAGGCTGAAACTGAGTGAGGAGTGCTCCTTGCTTGCCCGCTCCTTCCTCCCTGCAGGTCTCCTTGACTTGCCCATCAGGGCCTTTGCTTGCCTTACAGCAGCATCTAGTGGCCTGTCTGGATGTTACTGCCCAGAAATCCCAGAATTTGTTATGTTGTCCAAAACCTGGCTCTTCTACCAGTTTCCCACCTTGCCACTGCCCGGCACATCAGGACAGTGTTGAAACCTGGCATCAGTCGGTGCAGAAGGTGAACCAAGGGGCCATCCTTCACCTTCATTCGAGGTGATCCATTTTAGAGCAGGTTATGGTCACCTGCAGGGAAAAGGGAGGCACTGAGGCGTTATCCTTGCGATTTTCTTCTCTTTGAGAGCAAAAGGTTGTCATGCATGAAATGTCAGGTCTGCACAGGGCAGTATTGCCCAGGGTGTAAATTAGAAGTGAAAAATCTCTCAGTGCAGCTGAGGGTAAGCCAGGGAGAGGAGAAGAAATGAGAAGATCTTAAGGACATTTTCTTATGGCAGGAAATGAGACATATACAGTGGCACTATCTGTACGTCCATTCCCTCCAGTAATTATTTTAACGCTTTGATCAGGTTCAGCCTGGCAGAGGTTAGGAATCCAGGAAATAATACATTTCACACAAGTTAGGAATGTGTGTGGAGCAAGAGGAGAAGGAAACAAGCTCAAATTAGTGCTTCTGTCCAGCAAAAGCAGTAACATTAGCTTTTTAAAGATAACGGAAATCAACAGGAAAAGTGTGGTTGTTCTAAGCTCCGCGTTGCTGGGCAGCAGCAGCCTGTCCCGTACACACAGAGCTGTTTGTGCTGTGACAGCTCGGGCGTGTGTTTGCACACTCACGTGGAGCTGCCCCCAGGTAGGCAGAGGAAGCTGCGAAGCCAGGGGCTCCGTTACGGCGGGTGGGCAGAGTTCAGGCTTGCGTGGCCCTGCATCGCCTGCCTCGGGGAGCAGGAAGGTTTCACATGCCATCCTCCTTCACATCGCTGCTGAGGAAAGTCGTGCCCTTTCGTACAGCACGTTGAATGGGCTCCACTTGCCAACAAACTGCTTCAGTAGGCACCACAAACTAAGCTAGGTAAGGCATCTGGTTGAACTGCAGAAAATTTAAGTTGTATGGAGAACCAAATCCCAAATTTGCTTATTCCTGAGAGAATCCCACCTGCGAAGTGGCCAGAAATGTCCATATGAGCGCTGAACACGCAAGCAGCATCCTTACATATTTCACACCAGTGCAGAGGCTCAGACCCTCAGGTCACTCAACAGCAGCAAGGTCAGTATGCATCCCTGGTACAATCCACACCACTGCTGAGGCACGGGCATCTTAAACAGATCATCCAGAAACATGAGAAAAGCAGTAATAGACTTTCCATCAGTAAAAGCAGTAACACAAACAACTGAAAAAGGAAAAGACAGGCATTAAAAATACATTTTTTGTAACCCTTTGGGTTGGTATACACTCCCATAGTACCCCAATTAAACATCCTGCTTGGTGCTTAATAAATAAAATGGAAGCACAGATCATAGAAGGCACTATTACTGCTTGGTTTGATGGCAGGGAAGAAACAAGTTCAACTGCATATGTAAGCAAACTGCGGTGTGGTATAGTTCCCTTTGGCCTGTGGGCTGCTACACTTGGGTCTAGTGTTTCCAGGGGTGTCTGGGTAGCAGATGCCTGAAACAAAATGCCACTGGTCTCGGTGCATAAGCGCCTGAGACAAAGAGCAGCAGGAGCATCAGTACAAACTGCGTGTGCTGCAGGCCTGGCTAGTCTGGGGTGCTTTGTGCTTACGGGCAACAGATGCAGTTGCTAGCTAAATCTCATGTGTGCATTCACTGATAAATGCTATTGTCATACTTGTTTTGGTAATAAATAAGAAAAAAAACCATACATTTCATAGAATCATAGAATGGTTTGGATTGGAAGAGACCTTAAAGATCATCTAGTTCCATCAGCAGGGACACCTTCCCCTAGACCAGGTTGCTCAAAGCCTCATCCAGCCTGGCCTTGAACACTTCCAGGAAGGGGGCATCCACAACTTCCTTGGGCAACCTGTTCCAGTGTCTGACCATCCTCACAGTGAAGAACTTCTTCCTAATATCTAATCTAAACCTGCCCTCTTTCAGTTTAAACCCATTTCCCCTTGTTTTGTCATTAACTATTTGAATTGAAATGTTTGAAATAACCTGAAATTTCATTAAAAATTAAAAATTGTTAAGGATAAAAAGTCCATCCTATTACTTATCTTCCTAAAATCCCTCAAAGCCTCCTTCTCTTCGTTTCCTGTAAGCCACGTCACATACGTTATTTTATACTAACTGTACCTCATGCTTCTTCTATAGCAGTCACACATGTAAATCTTTTACATTTAAATGTGACACCTAAGGAATGTATCATATTTGATACAATTCCTTTACAGAACGATGCTTGATTAACACATTTCAGGCTGATCAGAACAAGACAGCTAAGGTCTGTGTTAATTTGAATAAGGCTGTTGTTTTTGAACAGTCATTTCTTTGTATTTTGATTTCAGAAGTTATGACTCTGGCACTGCTTCTCATAAACACCCCTAAATGCATGTTTAGGTACATTATTTGAGCATCATTAGGCTTGTGGTACCCTTAACTACTTATTTTCATGCTGTTAGGTGATTGGGGATTATTTTTCTAAAATACATTTCTGTCACTTAGCAACCCTCAGTGTCTCCAAAAAAATTTTTTGTAGCTTCTAAGTAATTTTTGCATTCAGAATGAGAGTACAAATTACAGATATAGCAATGTTGATAGCATCATCAATACAAAGTATTTCTGTGTGTAGCCCAATATCACAAGTTTAGTATTTTGTTGCATAGAATTCTTTTGCAAAATTTGGAATTCTAAAAGAAAAAAAAAATCGCTGGTATTTTTGTGGTCTTTCTTCTTAGGTGATTTTCAAATGCATTAAAATAGGTGCTAAAGTACGTTTTCACCTATCAATTTGACTTAACCTGTCCAAGACTGTCAAACATTAGATTGCTCATCTTTTAAAAACTGCTTCTTGTTACCACTGCCTGGTATTTAATTTTGCTCACTATTGTTCTTAGCTTTAAAGAAGCACTTTTGAGGTCTTACTCAGCACACTCCTTGTTGCAGGTTTCCTCGAATACTTGCCTATCTGATGCAACTAATTCCACAGAAGCCTGTCAGAAGTCATCATTGTTCCAGTTAGCAGAGGTGAGTTTCTTTAAAAAAGGGTTGTCTTCCCCAGTGTTTCTTTTTAAGAAGCATCTGATGTTCAGCTAAAAGAGAAATCAAAAATCTTTAATTAAAATTCATGTTTTTATTTGTTCCTTCTTTTTGAGTTTATGGTACTGGATCATTTATCAGCTAGATAAACTTAAAGTGTAGGAGAGTGTGTTTAGGAACATGTGGCAACCCTAGTGTGGTAACAGAGCTGTGGTTTGAGCAGTAATTTAGAGAAGTGTCATTCCTGCACTTAGTTTTAAACTAGAGTCTTACTAACTAAAGTTCTAACATGTATATTTGGATGTTACATTATGTTCTTTATCTGTCGTGGCTGCTTTAGTTGCTGACTCCATCAAAAATAAACTAATTCTGGAATTACCAAAATGTTATTCTCTTCTATAACCACCAAATAGCTCTATGCAACTATGCTTTAGTTTTGCAATGTACAACATTTTTGTAACATATTTCCAGTTCTTGCTGGAAGTGCAACTGTGATGTTGTTTTATTTTGGGGGTCTTCTTTGAGGTTTTTTGTTTTGTTTTGTTTTGTTTTTAAGTATACACTATTTCGTCCAAGTTTTAATGCATTTCATTGACATAAATAAAGCATGACAAGAATGAGAATGCAAAGAATCCTGCTCCTGTGTAAGCATCACTTGCTTGTTTATATCTTTCTAACTTTTGAAATGGTCATGATCAAGTGACATATAAATATTTAGCTGTATAAATATGGATAGTGCAGGATGCTGGGTGGTGTTTGAGTACGTACATATGGAAAGAAATTTTGTCATAACAGGGGCTTCTTTTTATTACCTGTTTTCACACCAGCTGTGAATCTGGCTCCTGTGTTTCTAATACTGTGTGCACCTTCACACTTCTCCCTAAATGTCATCACTTACAGACCAGCTACGTTGCAAATCTCACACACAGAAAATGTGATTAGTTTTGTTTTGGTTTTTGTTTTAACATCAACCCACAAGACCCTGAGTTCCAACTCAAGTAGTAGTAGGCAGCAATCGTGTTGGATGCTGCAAGATACGCTCTTTCTCTAAGGGCTTGTGACTGCTGGCTTTTCCTTGTCCATCAAAGAAGTTGTTCAGTGGGTGCCAGGAAACAAGCTCACCTGCACCACTAAAACATGTAATTTAGAAGTAGCTCACTGATGGTCAGTAATTAGAAATGCATATTAGCTAGTCTTAATTTTCAAGGATGTTAAACAGCCTGTAGTAAGTCTGCATCTAACCAGCATGTGGTAGATATGTCTATCAATGGCAAAATGATTTGTACCAAGGCCTACCAACATTAATCACAGGTGTCATTTGCAACAAAAATAACTGGCACAAGTTAAACAGTGTAAAGTACAGTTCCCTTGGTGTCTGGGTTGGATCTGGTATCTCTTCTTAAAGTACCTGCACTTGTGTCCCTCTCCACACTTAGCTTCCATGCTAAGTAGCAATTGATGCTCCATCAGCACCAGCATTTTGCAGTCTCAGGTCTTTCACTGAACTGTGAAACACAATATAGTGTTAAGTTTTTGCTGCTAACCCTCTTTTTGACATATCAGCGGGCAAATAAAAGCCCCTCAAAAAAGTCATAGCCTATTTTATTGATCCTAGGAAAGATTTTTCTGTGGGAAAAATAATTCCAGATCCCTGTTTCATGGCTCGTCCATTTATGTCTCTCCAGCAAAGCAGATACTATTCTTTGTACAGGTGTGCTGGGACTCATTTGCATGTTCTTAGGTACTGAGAGTCTGTATGATAGGTCAGAAGTTTAGCATGTTGAAGTTTGATGTTGAAACTGAAGAGTTAGGTGATACAAAAATAATTCTTTTCCTGACAGATCTCTTCAAACACATCACAGCCTGGAGTCCTGGGAGCTGTAAAACAAACTGAGGAGTCTGCATTGTTTCAGTTTGCTGAGGTATAATGGCTGAAATATGGTGGGGGAGGATGGGAGGAAGCAAGGAAACAGTAAGAGTTGTCACTGAATGGCTAAGCACCCTGTCTCATAAGGGATTCCCATCACTAGATGTTTATCTTCATGCCAGCATTGTTTTAAGAAAATGGTGGGGGGAATAACCAGTGATTTGAAGATATGTTGGCCAGTTCTACCAGCTGTAGCATGCACAAAAGATACTGGGCTTGTGAACATGACCTGGCCTCTCATACCAGAGGATTTTTATTTCATCTAGGAAAAAAACAAATAAAAGATATTCTGAAACTACACTATGCACTGGCTGTGGAAGAGGCTGCAGCAGTGCAAAATGGCAACACTTGTAGAGGCAGGAATCCTTTGGAAAATAAACTTGCAGGTCAAAGGAAGCTCATCAAAACAGCTACAGGGATACTATTATCATTAGGTGGTGACTTATAAAGCCTGTAAGTTACCTGCCAGTATGTCAGCTATCCTTCTTCCTTTACGTATTGAAGATTTTGAGTTCTTAAATATGACTTTTAAGAATTTCTTCTCCCTGTGTGTTTAATGTGCCTCCATGAATTGACTTTCCACGCTTTCCTCTTGCCCATCTGGGGGAGTCTGTTACTGCTTGCAGAATCAGATACACTAAAGATATACTCAGGATGTGTCTTCAGACAGGGAATGGAGCTGGTGCTATCATGGAAGAGCAAAATGGGATTAAAAGATACCCTGTTCATTATTCCATGTGCTTGCAGAGGTTTGACTACATACAACATGCTTCTTTCTGTTAAATGTGAAGCTAATTGTGTATACTGTGTATTTTCGGCTTGGCTAGGATGGGCCTTGATGTATTTCTTCAGAGGTCCAATTAAAAAGCAATTCACGGGTTCAGGTGTCATAAAATACCTGACTATAAACCAGCCCTATAACAGATACAATAAAATTAATGTCTCTAATCATGAAGATGTTTTCATATATGCCACCTTTTTTTTTAAGCTACAAGTTAATTTGGAAAGTTCTTTTGAGAAAATTAGTGGAATTGAGCAGGATGAAGACATGGGCTGAAGCCAACCTTTTAAACCAAGTAAAAGCTACCACCTGGAGAACACTTCTTGTGAATTTTATTGCTAAATATGGCATGAGTGAATCCACTAACTTAGTTTCAAAAATCTTAGCCATCTTAAATTTTAATTAAACAGCAATTTTGGTTATCTGCAGAGTGGAACAAGGTATGAATTACCTTTAGTACAGCATTTCCAAATTGTCATGTAAAACCTGACTTAGCCATACTATTCAAAATTTCACAGAACCTAAAATCATTTCCTCTCCTAATTGAACAAACAACAGAATTACAAACCTGAAATTGTCATATGGATGTGACAGTGCATTGAGTTGCATATCACTATGCTGAGCCAGCTCATTTGACACGTTGGAGTGCATGTATGAATCATCAAATGTTAGGTAGAAGAGGTGCTTAGAAATTTAATTAGGAGCTGGAGAGGACAGTTTTAAAGTCAGGGTTAATTTCTTTTTATTTTCTTTCCTTTCTTTTTTTTGGTAAAAATATATAAATGTGTGTGCAGTCTGGAGGGAGTTTGTTTTTTCAGTGTCTGGAAATAAGGAACAGAAATCTGGAAAAGTAAAAACCAACCAAAAAAAAAAAAAAAAAAAAGCCTTGTTGGCCATGGTTATTCCTCCTGTGTTGTACTGTTGTTCTGAAGTGTTAATGGCAGTGACTAACATCTTGTTTTCTCGATAGCAGTAGAGAAATGGCATTTCTTTAAGACTGCAGCCTGATTTCATTTTGGTTTTTCCAGGGGAAACTATTGAGCATGCTACAGAACCTCTTCAAGCTTTCTCCCCCTGCTGCTATTAAAGCTACTTGTGCTCTTTCAAATATAAGGGCTTTCATTTGCACAGGGTGTCTTTGTCAAGTTTGGCAAAAATCCCATTCCTTACTGTGCGACTTCTTACTGGGTCCTGTCTATATGAGCCCATTACTGCATTTAGTAAGCTAAATTATACTAAGCAATTTGCAGTAGGCTGCTGTCAGCAACGTACAGTGCTACAAAAGAAAAGAGAGAGGGAGAGAAAGTAGTTATTTAACCAGTAGCCAAGTAGACCTGTGAAGAAATGTGAAATGTGCTGTGGTCTGATGTGCCTGGAGACTTTTGGCAGCTGTCCCAGCTCAGTTTTGGTTCTGGCTGGGTGTTCTTCATATGTTCCCTTTCTCTTCTCCGCCTTTGCGGCAGGGTGAGTAAGAGTGCCTCTTTGTGAAGACAGCAATCCCATTGAGTAGATTTGTCATTTAAAATGGACACCTTTACCCCAGGAGTACAAGTGCCCTGTCACTCAGAAAGTGGTCATTATATCTTAGATGTAGCATGGGATTCTTTATTCTTTACAGCCTCAGTTAGCCTTTGATCTGGTTGTCTGTCCCAAATGCTGTAGTCTTCAATTAAAGCTGTTGAGGATATGGCAAATGAGGCCTGCTGAGCGACTTGCCACAGGAGATAATGAAAATCCCAGGAGTAAGACTTCATTGGGTCCTGCCGGTGCACAGGCAAGTGCCTCGGAGGTCTTCAAAGATTATGTGATGTCCTTGTAAGAATTTTTTGAAATTTAGAGTGTTGCCAAGTTATTATCTTGGCTTTCTCATTTTGCTCTTTCTCATTTTGCTCTGACTTTCTCATTCCACTCTGATCTTGGAAATACTTGGCTCTACTTTTGTCCTTCTCAGGAAGGACATCCCTTTATGGAAAGCCATTCTAGAGTGGCCAGTGATTTCTAAGCAGTGGACTGTCTTCCGTAGCACGGTAGCTGTTTGCAGGCTGCCTGCTCACATGGGCTGCTTGCTGCCGTCCCCTTTGCCACGTGAGGGAAGCAGCAGATGGGACCCCTTGCTCTCTTGGTCTTACTGGATATGTGTTTGGCAAACGTGAACAGATGGTGATGACTGCTTCAGAGAAAAGAAACACAAGTACCTCTTAGATTTACTTAGCTAAACTCTCATCGGTTATTAAACAAAGAAAATGCTTCCTGAGAGTGGAAGCAATAAAATTGATAGTTTATCCGTCTTAAAAACAAAATAAAGCCAAAACCCAAAAACTCTTCAATGTCAGCTGCTTTCCTGAAGTTTTTCTGTGGGTGATTTAATCTAAAAAGCAATCCTAACAAGGTGGAATTTTCTTTGTTAGTCTAGTAGGTTACTATCATTTAAGAAAAATGTATGTTTGAGGATGATTGTGTCCCCGCTGCATTCTCACATACTCATATTGAGCGGGCTTTCGAGCTGCCCTTTCTCTTTATTTCTGTGCTGAACAGAAGGTTTGAATCCAAAACTTTTAGTCAAAATGCCGTGAAATTGAGAGTCTTGAGAGCTGGTCAGTATCTTCTCTTCCAGCCTTCCCTTAGATAAAGTTGTAATCTTCCCAGGTAAAGCCGTTATGTAAAATAGACAAACAGGTTTGCTGTTTGCCTCTATAGTGAAATTATTAAATATCTGTGTTGAAGTGAAATGCCTCTTCTAGAAGGGGAATGAAAAAGTGGTACCATGGCAAGTGCTTTTTATGCAAACTAGAATGTAATATAGTGACTAAAATGCTGACCTGCATTGTAATAAAAGATAATAGTTTGAGCCTAATGATCCCCAAGTTAAACCTCTGCATAAGAAGGGGCTGATTGTGGTTGTACTACTAATTATTCTAATTAAAACCTGAAGATGGTGTTAAGACAGGGAATGAGATCTGTAATTTCACTGAGAGCTGATGATTGATCAGCCATCCTCTTACTTCTGATGTTTGGCCATGAAGAGAATTTTTTTGCTGAAGTGAAGTGAAATGTTGGCTTCTTCTCTTTCTATTAGTACTACACGGATCTTGCTTGCATTTTGTTAGGAGCACCCATTCTCTTGTCAAAATCAACTTTGCTCTTTCCTCAGGAGGCAAGAATGCCTGCCTGCATATTCTCAGGTTATACTTCAGTGTGTGGGTGTTTTTCTGTCCCTTTTCTGCCATTCATATTGCACTGAAAAAATCATTAAGAGCTGAAAATTTCTTATGGTAGAAAGATTAAAAGTTGGGGCCTTCTTCCTGCAAGTGCAGTGTACAAGATCACTTAATCCAGTGGGTTCCTGAGCAGGTTCACTGAACTGTCTCAAAGCAAGATTTTGAATTATTTTTGTTTAATATTGAAAATTATTATTAATGCACAATCAAGTATTATTCACCGTATTTATGTGCAGTAAAATGGATGTTCTGGATTTGGGGGTGATGTAATGAATCTCCTTGACAACTGAAAACTAAACTCTTCAAATAATCTAGTTCAAAAGAAAAAAAAATAAATATAAATACAAGCGCTAAGCTGATCATTTTTGCATCTGAAAACTCATGGTTGTAAGCATGATTTTTGTGATGAGGTAGATGCCATGGAAACACTGGTGGTCTTGCCCCCTGATCTTTGGGCTTTTCAAGGCTTCCAGGTCAAATACTACCATGTAATGCCATGCCAAAAAAAGGTCAAATATGAGAAATAATTATTAATTCTTGCATTGATGAACTGATAATGTTGCAGTTGGAAGCAGGTCAGAAAAAATTTGGCTGTAAAGCAATTCCCTGAAGTGCGGTTTAGGGAAGTTCATTTACTCAGGGCTGGTGCTGGCACACCAACATCTATTTAGAAGGCTAGATTTCATCTCCAGATGTAAAGTCTTACTTCTTTTTTCTAACTAAAGAAAGTGAAAGAAGCAGTGCCTGTGAGGACAAATGATCCTCTTCTGTATCTAACCAAATGGGAAATACTGCCCAGCCTTTCCAGGAGAATGTTATTTAACCTTGACCACTGCAGTTCATGTTTTTAAGCAAGAGGTATGTCTTATTCAGTTAGTCATGTGAAACACAGGGCATGATAGAGTATTAGCTGTGGATAATACAAACATAGAAGAGAATCCATGAGCCTAGTCTAAGGAAGAAATTCTGTATTTGCTTGTATCCTGCTGACTTCTAAATGCCTGATAAGTGTTTCTTGGATGAGATTGCCTGTCTGAAGTAGGGCCTTCTACCAGAAAGATTTAAAACTAACTGATTTAACTAACTCCTTATTTTTTTCATTCTTTTTCTCCCTTCCTTTCTGTCTTTCCTGTGTGCCACTGAAATGTTTTCTCTTCTGTTCATTTAAAACCTAGATCTCATCAAATACTTCCCAGTTGTCAAGTCCTGAGCCAGTAAAGCACTGTGGGAAGTCAGCACTCTTCCAGTTGGCAGAGGTAAAGTTTATACCCATGAGCATCACAATGGGAAGATGTGTGTATCTTTTCCCCAAAAAAGTATGAATTGTGTGAGGTTTGCTCTGGCATCATATTTAGGATTGCAATGCTCCCAGGGACCTAGGTTTTCTTTACACACTTGTTAATGTGCATAGTTTCTTGGAGACCACACAGAAAAAGTCGTGCTTTTTTTTTAGAAAAAATACCCTAATAACTGTAATACAAACAATGCTCAGGACAATAACAAAGACAAGAGACAGTGGTGTTCTTAATGAGGAGCTAAATACCAGGATTCAAAAAGTAAAGCTTTGGTATAAGGACTGGAAGGTGCATTGCTGAATGGGGACCAAGAATAAGAAGAGAAAAGTAGACTTTGAGATCATCAGGAATGTGTAGGAACAGTTGGAAGTTGAAGCAGTGTATTAAGTTTTGAAATTGACAGCTGTCAGCAGTAATCAAGAATACTAGGTCTGGAACAGGTTGCCCAAGGAAGTTGTGGGTGCCCCCTCCATGGAAGTGTTTTAAGGCCAGGCTGGATGAGGCTTTGAGCAACCTGGTCTAGTGGAAGGTGTCCCTGCTGATGGCAGGGGGGTTGGAACTGGATGAGCTTTAAGGTTCCTTCCAACCCAAACCATTCTGTGATTCTATGAGGTTTCCCAACAGTCCTAGAAATTCTCTGAGTCTTAAATACACCTTGTAGAGGTCTCCCTTTTGATAGGTATGAAAGACTCAAAAATCAAAGTATTCTTCTTGATGATTGAAAGATGAAGATAAATGCTGCATTCCAGGTAAATAAGGGAGGATGCTAATACCTTACTAGTACACCTTTTTGTCCTTTCTTTTTTTTTTTCCTTCCAAAGTCGCTTCCTATTTCTATGAGGAAGAATGTTTCTCTGGGTCCCATCTAGTGGCATCCAGCCATATATTCTTACTTGTGGTGAGTGTGTGCTGCACTGTCAGCAGTGCCTATGTAAGGGGGATTACACCTAGCTGTGATCAGTGATCCATGAGGGCATTTGACTGTTGCAATCCTGGGACAGCAGAAGGGCTAGTAACACTTAGTCAGGGACATCAGAAGCGTTAGAGGTGTCCTCTGTTACAGGACAACAGCAGGCTTTGAGTAGTGGTGTTCAGCATAAGGCCGTTGCTCAGTCCAGCCTGACTTTCAGAAGTCAGCATTAAAAGTTGTGATGTGACTGTGAAGCCCTAATGTGGGGGAAGGCCAGGAGCTTGTCCACAGGAGTGCAGGGTTTGTACTGCAGTTGGCAGAAGAAGTGAAGCCGAGTCTGGCAGCGTGATGGTTGCATGTTGGACAGGTTTCTGTGATCTCTTCCTCAGTGATTGCTCAAATGGATTCCTACAAACCTAATTTAGAGTACAAAATTAATGTTAAAAGCTCTGATTCAAACTGAGAAAAGCATGGCAGATGTGCTAAGCACATCCTCCTTATCTCTAGCTCTCGTAGGACATTAGTGCTATTGACTTTTTTCCAGTTTTGGAGACCTCTGTAACATTGATTGTAATTGGATAAATAAAATGAGAGATTCAGCTTAACTTCTCAGATGGCAGTTCAGGACTTGGTTTGGAGGATCCCAAATGAACTATGCTCATTACCACCTCAAGGGTGTTCTAGGTTTGCATGTTCATTTGGCAGACATCTGTGCCATGCTGCTGTAACTCCAGACTGCAGATGCTGTGTGCTGGAGGGGACTGGACTGCTGTCTCCATGCTGCTGGCATGGCAGGGCTCTGGCACGCTGGAACCCGTCTGCTTCAGCACAGCACACTGCTCTGCTCCTCCTTTGTCTATCTGCTATGTAGATTAACCAATTTTATCTTTCTTTTTAACCCCCTTCCCTATGCCTTCCTTTCTGATATTGCACAGTATTTCACAGATGATGACAAAATAAAATGCAGAAGTGGGTTAAATGATTTCCTAAAAAATTCAGAGGATTTCTAAGTTTCTAAAAAAACAGTTGGAGCAGCTGCTCTGCAGTCTGAAGCCTGGGAGACTGTTGCTGATAAGCTCTGCGGAGTCTCTTGCTGTGCCTAAATGCATTCTTTGTCTTTAGCCTTCAGCGCGGAGGCGTGAGAGTGAAGGGAGGCAGTGATGGGGTGCACGTCACCTCCATGAGGCAAGGAGACCACTTCTGCCACAGAGTGCTCACAGCACTGACAATGCTGGGCTGTAAGTGGCGTTTGGAGACATGAGCTGTAATGGTCAGAGCTTGGGAGAAGCTGTGAAGAGCTGCAGCTTCCAGGAGATATAAAGATAGAACATTGTTGGCCTTTTTTGTTTATTTCCTTTATGGCAGTGATGGATTCATTTCTCCAAAATTGACTTTCTAGGCTCTTGTTGGTTGAGAGCAGTGAAAACTGAGTTTGAGGGCATAGGATGAGCTAAAAGGTTGTAAAAACCTTAGTTTCCCAGTCTTTAGAACTCCCCCTCTTCCAAAGGAAGTGAGTATAAGAAACCTGCAAGCCTGATCAGAGATAATGGGATATGTCCTTAAAAATAGAACATTTTCTTTATCATCCTAACAGCTAATCCTGAGACTGATCCTTGTTTAGAAAAAGATAATTTCTTTTCACCTAGCTCAAAACTGATACAAAACACTCTGAAGTGCTGAAGAGGATCATGACCTGATACAGGAAAAAGATTCTGGAGAATAATCAGCTACCTGCCTGCCAGATAGCCTCCTGTACTCTTGAGGAGTAGTAAAGGTTTCCAAAGGCTCGAGGGCTCCTACTTCACTTTGGTTTCATAGCATTTCTTTTATACAAGTCCTATAGGACACCAACCATAGTCTGACAGGAGTAACCTTCTTAAGCTATGACAGTGAAATTATTTTGTAGTCAAATGTCCAACTAAGCCTTCAAAAACATGCCCAGCTGGGTTGCGTGCTGGGTAGATTGATGCTTTAGCCACTGGAGTCTGTTTATGTGTGAGAGAGCACATGCTTCAGTTCATCCTAGTCTTCAGAAGGACTCCTGACAAGAAGAACCCCAAATCTGGAAATAGCTTTTAGTTTCCAGTGGTGTTATGCACCAGAGTAATGGTGGAGCAGGGTTTTATTTATAAGAGCATGCACAGATCTGCACTTCTTTTTCAGTATATAATCTTATGAATGAATTTTTGGAAGAGGGGGGGAAATGGTCTGTTCAAAAGCTGTGTGGTAAACATGAAAGAATTGGGCTGGTAAAATAATATTTTTCTTTTTTCTCCCCCTCTGTTTTTTCTTTAGATTTCTTCAAGTACCTCCCTTTCAGGTTCTTCTGATTTAACCAAACAGTGTGGAACGTCAGCGTTATTTCAGCTAGCAGAGGTAATACTAAAATACTAGTGACTAATTATTGCAGGTGCAGCAGGGCGGAGATGTTAATGATGTTGATTGCCGAAGTCTGGAAGGCAGAACAGTGCTACAGTTCTAATTACAGTTGCTTATAGAAGCATAAATTATTGTGACTTGGGTGCCACAAGTCAAGATTTCTCCAGACTAACCATAAACTTGGAGGTTTCTAAGAGTCTGTGCTGCAGCTGAGAAGAGGTACCAGTCCCTGATGGTAACGGGACTTCCCAGTCACCATTGAAATTGTTTCCATTCCTTGTTTTGGGGTTTGGAGTTTTGACTGTTTGGTTTGGCTGAATGAGCACAGAGTTGAGAGAGAGGGCTGGATTAACCTGTTACTCAGATTAGGGCATTGCCATTACAAATAGCCAGTTAAAGGTCATTAGTTGCTTTCATTTATTTTTGCTTTTCATGCTGCCTGTTTTTTGAAGTGGGGAATAAACAAGTCAATAACTTTTGTAGAAACTCTGCTGTGATACTCTCAGGAGATCCTCCTTCTGGAAACAGTTAAAACCAATGGCCTCTTACTGAACTGTTATATTTCTTTTATTTCTAAACTTTTTTTTTAAGCTTTCTCAGTCTTAAAGACTGTGAATTGCAGGTTTGTTCGGAGCTCACAAAACAGAAGTCACTTTTTTGAGCCACATCTGTAGCCCTCTGTACTATTGGCTAATGTAGAAGCAGCAAAGGTATACATTTAAAAAAAGAATAGTAAATGGTGAGAGATGTGTGTGTTTAATTAACAAAATTTTGTTACTGTCTAATGAGTTGCATTTTAAAATTGATCTTTAGCTTTTGAAAATCACAGACTGTGTTTACATTGCAACACAGTAAAAAAATCACAGAAGTACCTTGGTACCAAGAACCTACCTCAGCATAGTTGTGGGGTTCTCCTCTGCAGAATTTAACCTGCTTCCTAATAGACACTGTGCTGCCCAAGCTCTGGTGTTTCCAGTGCTCAGCCTGGCTTGACCTGAGCCAGATGAGGAGTTTATACCCTGTGCGGCAAGAACTTCAAAAATTTACTACAAAGTGTTCTGTCATTGGTGTCATGCTTATGCATCTGTTGGTTTAAGATATATTTTTAGTTTGCAAGGAAAAAATGCCTTGATGATTTGAGAAATCTAAAATTCACCTGCAGAGAACCCAGTAATCTGGAGGGTATATCCGTACTGACCACATTGCCTGTGGGCTAAGCTGCAGGATAAGGAAACTCCTGATGTCTGGTCCAAAGCAAGCCTCTTCCATCTGGTGTCACTCCAGGTGGCTGGTTGACACTTGTTTTAAAAACAAAATAGCAATGGGAATTCAGCTTGAGGGCTTTGAGAGGGAGAGCAAGAAGAATAAAGCCTGTCTTCTAAGGGCAACTGCTTGGTGCTGTGAAGGACTACCCTATAACAGTGCCAGCATAGTTTACAGATGATCCAAAGCTAAGAGGATCTCCCAAGTCAGTGCTGCAGGAACATGGCAGTTTGAGGACCCTTTCACATCTCCTTTTCTGAGTATCACTGTTCCTCAGACAATATGAGGGGTTTGGTTTCCATTAATGTTATCTCCAGGAGGAGATAACCATGGCAACCACTGCTGCTTTGCAGTTCTTTGCAAAATAAGTCTGTGACAAAAAAATTTGGAAGGCTTTTTTATTACCTTCCAAATTATTTTGCACATTTAAATGAAAGAAAATAATCTTGATTACTGAGATTCAATTAACTCCCCCCACCCCGTCCTCCAAGGCCATTTGGAAAATGGAGGAAGGAATTGCATATAGTGACATTTGGGAGTTGAAAGGGGTATGGATGCGAGATTTCAAGTAACTGGTCTGTGGCAATTGTGAAAGATACTGTATTGTTCTGTTGCATTTAGGATATTCTGAAAATCAGTCTAGCAATGGGTTTCCAGGTTATATAAAAGGCAGTTAAAGGATCATGGAACCATTGGGATCAATTGGAGTCTTTTTCTATTACAGTGGTAGAACCCACCAGCCTTATTCTAGCACTTCACCATCATCATGTTGCATCAGTTTCAGTCGGGCTTCAGGGTGTTTTTCAGTACTGTCCTTTAGCATAGTTTGCTTTCCTGAACTAAGATGCCAGAGCGATTCCCTGTGTAATGCTCCTGTTAATACAGGGAACTAATGTAAACAGTTGGATGTTTTGTTTCATGGGACTATTTTTAAACTCATTTTAGATGTGCCTTGCTTCAGAAGGAGTAAAAGTGAAAGAACCTGGGAAAACAAAAGTGGAAGCACCAGAAGATGTGGATAGAGAAGTTCCAGAGGAAATGGAAATAGAAGAACTGGAGAAAATTATAAAAGACTCCTGTAAAGGAAAAGTAGAACAATCAGAGATAGAGAAAATGCAAAACTGGGATGAGACAAAAGCTGAGGAATCAGAAACTGCAAAATGCAGAGATTTTACTAGTCTTGCAATGGAGAGCAGTCCTTTTGAGAGGAACAGTAGCACAAAGGATCAGCTGTGTTGTTCTCCAGAGCTTTTAATGGCTGACATGAATATCCTCGGACTAAAGCCAGAAAAGATAAAGAAGAAAAAGAAAAAAAATAAGTTGGATCGGCACACAAATGAGAAATCCACCCCCAAGAAACCTTGTAAAAAGAGGCAGTCCTCCGAGTCGGACATTGAAAGTGTGATGTACACGATCGAAGCCGTGGCAAAGGGGGACTGGGGAGCTGAGAGACTGGCGGAAACTCCCCGCAAAAAGCCCCGCCCTGCCTCAAGTGTGAAGGGAAGTGTGTTGGATACAAAATCACCAAAGAAAAAAGTGAAATCGAAAGAGAAGAAAACATCAAAGGAGAAACCCCCGGAGACCACCAAAGAATCGAAGCCTCCTGATTTCCTCAGTATTGCAGCCAGCAAGGAGGTACCCTGTGAGGCTTCTGATAACATTAAAGTGGAACCACTGACCCCAACAGAGGAGGTGGTACCCCAAAGCTTACCAGAACAGGTCAAAACTGAGGACAATGACTGTGTTAAAAAGATAGAAACCTGTGGCTCCAGGAAATCGGAGAGATCTTGCAAAGGTGCTCTTTATAAAACTCTGGTGTCGGAGGGCATGCTCACATCTCTGCGTGCTAACGTGGACAGAGGTGGGTGGCTTTGAGTGTTTCATTTACAGCATGAACCACAAAAACCTGCCTGGAGTGGGAGGAAAAGCAAAAGTCCATGTTTAAGCTGCAAGTTTGAGCAGTGTGTGATGAGAATGCTGTGTCTGGTCACCTGAGATGCTGGGGGCAGATGGAGAGGACTCCATGGTCCAGGGCAGGTCTTCTGGAGTCCTGCAGTCTGTGTTCTTACTTACCTCACAAGCTCTTACCCCTTTTTGTCTTTCCTGATCTGAGATTGAGCTTTTTGACTGAAGGCTTTGTTGGTTAATTTGTCAGTCTGTTGATAGATGTAAGCAGGACTCTGTTGTACTTAACCCTGAACAATTACCTTGTTTCTATATAAACAACTCTTGTGGTTGTGAGCATAGTTCTCAGTCCCACCAGAGGCAAATGTGTTGTGCTTTTGCTTTGGTTGTTAGTTTTGCTGTAGGTGGTGAGCAAGAACCCTTTACCTTGTGGAAGAATAAATTTGAGGTAATTTCTGGAAGCTTTCAGTCAGATGTCTTGAAATGTATTTTTCCAATTAGTAGATTTATATGTGTAATTAGAACAGTCAGAAAAGAAAAAGATGTTTGTAATTTAGGGAATTTTATTATTGTAAATCTGTTCATCTCTTTCTCTTCCTTTATGCCTCAAGAGATCCTGACTTTAGAGGTAGTATGAAAACTGGGAAGGAGGGGGGGAAGGAAATAGTTGCCAGTATCACCATTATCCAGTTTAAAATAAATGTTTTGTAACCCCTTCAAGAAGGTCAAGCACCATAAGTTGCAGTACTGAATGGGTGCACAAGTTCATTCTGAGCCAAGCTGTGTTTTGGCACATTTTTCTAAAGATGAGAAACAATTTTCTGCCTTCATCCCAGGAAAAAGAAGCTCAGGAAAAGGCAACTCCTCAGATCATGAAGGATGCTGGAACGAAGAAAACTGGGCTTTTTCCCAAAGTGGGACAAGTGGGAACAAAAAACTGAAAAAGTCTAAGCCAAAGGAAGAATTTATTTTTGGGTAAGTTGCAGCTTAACACTGTTCAAAGTTTTAGTTAGGTCAGCCTGGTGACTTACAGAGCGAGTCCTTCTCATTGCAGCGAAGTGAACTGCAGCCAACACCCAAATAATCACCATTAGACACAATTCCTGAAAATTACAAACCCCGCTGGGCTGAGTCATGCTCTAGACACCTGTTATTTATATACTAAAGTAATTCCTTTGAGATCTTCCCTGGTTTACACTACTGTAAACAGATTTGAATTACATTATTTGCTCACTTCTAAAAAAAAAATAGGCAATATTTACCCACTCAAGAGGTGGTGAAGAGGGTTACTTATATTTTCAGAGCACTTCACAAGCAGTATTTAAAGTTCTGTGTAGGTGTTCAATCATCATAAACAGAATTAGACTAAAGAGAATTAGATCTCTTTGCCTGCTTGGAGAGATTGCTTACAGAAGAAGAGTAAACAATGTTCTAATATTGGCAAATAATTATGATAAATAAATCACTTTTCCATTGTAGAGACAAGATGTTTAAACTGTTCATGTACACCGTGAAGAAATTAAATAAATCAGAAGAATAATTAATGGTTACAAATGCATTAAAGTTTAGCAAGGCCACACAGAATTACTTTTCTAGAGTATGAATAACAATTTTTTTCTGAGTATTAGAGACTTATTTAACTGCAGGCGTAGTTGTTAAATCTGCTTAACCATTCATACTTACAAATTCTTGAAGACTTCCAATTACTGGAATTCAGTGGGTGAAAATGAATTAAAAAGGAGTAGATTTTCCACACTTCATGCTTAAAACTGGAATGTGTTTCTTTTGTGCAGGCTTGCAGGGGCCTTTTTTATAATGTAGTCTATGTGAAATTTAGCTACAGCTCACTTTACAGCAACTATATTAAATTGATTAAAATCTCCAAGTCTTGTTTGCTTGGAATAGTCAAGAAAAATTAACAGAACACTTCTTGTATTTTTAGTGCATTGTACATAAATTTAGTAAATATTTTTTTTAAATTTAAATTGAAAGATTGAAAACTTTTTACACCTAATGGTGTGAAAACCGAATGCATCTCCTACACACACACAAAAAAATGTAGTTAAAAATGATTTATTCAAAGCAGCTAGGAAAATTGTGTAAATAATTGATTCATTTGACAAATACTGTCCTACCATCATTAGCTGTCTGGATGGGGAAAATGCATATTTGCCAGACTTGCTTCTTGGTTCAACCATATCATTAATGAATGTTATTTAGTGAACTGTGTAGAGGCAGAATGGGTAATTTGTGGAGTATAAGTGCTAGAGAAGGTACTTATCCATTATCCCTGTTCATTGCACTACCTGATCTGGCTACTTGAAGAGCTGGTTTTACCTCTATCTGCTCCTCCTAACTCTGCTCCCTTCAGCATCAACTTTCACCCTCCTTTTGTGTGTATGTAGAGGGGAGGATCCTCACTCCTTTGGAATTACCTCTTTCTCCCCATGTCCTCTTACCTTCTTCTCCACCAGTAGTTACCCACACTTCTCTGATGGTCCGTGCCAAGTGTTCTTTGTCCACGTGCAGCCCACTCCTTTGCTGAGCAGTGCTCTGCCTGCGTGTATCTCCCGGCAGGACTGCGCTGTATGGCATGAAGACCTCAGCTCAGCTACGTGTATCTAACCAGGCTTGTGAGATGCTCAGAAAATTCATGATAAACGTGAATGTTTTTTTGGGGTTTTTTTTAATAATTAATGACTGACATAGTGTGAGCACTCTCCACTATCTCCATGTTGCACAAGCTATAAATTACTAGCTCGGGTAGGTCCTTCCTAATTAGAGCTGCAGCCTCTCATATGCCCTTGGGGCAGGAGACGAGGCAGGTGGCAACAGGCAGTGGGAGAGGAGCTGGGGCAGAGGATGGAGTTGCATGACAGCTGTCAGTGCAGAAAATCAGCGTGTTTTGTGGTTGTCAGGGAACATCTGCGTGGAAGAGAAATGTAACTGTACTGAGCACCACTAATGTCAGTTATCTTTGTGATATAAAATATCCACACAGAGAAAAAAAAACCCCAAAACAAACAAACCCCACCATGCACGCAGTCTGCCGAGACCTAAGGCTGTATTTTAAGATGGAAGATTGCTTACTGAAAGAAATAATGGTTGCAGAGATAAAATGAAGTATCATTCTGGGTACTAAAGCTTTCAGGATGCAATTTGTTTGAAGTGCTGCTTCAGAAAGCAGAGAGCAACGTCATGTTTTTTGTGATACTTCCAAGTGTATAGGGCATAACAGCAATCCCTCCAACAGTCATGCCAACTTTTGTCAAGTTCAGGTTTTCCATAGCTAACAGAATTAAAGATTAGTAGCAAATATCATTGTTCCCCTGTCACTGACAGTGCTATTTATAAATCTAGCTGTGTGCATTGCCTTTTATTAAAATACAATTCCTTCCTGCACTCCTGCCTGGCTGCAAAAATTTGCTGGAACAGAGTGCTTATAGAAGGCAGCATAGTGATTGCAGCCAGAAATGTTATGACATGCCATCCCATTGGAGTGGTTTGTTCTCATCTGGCTTTTAGGAACAACAAGACCATGTCTGTGGATTTCTTGAGTTGTAGGTAGGTAAAGCTAGTTACAGTCATTCAGGTTGGGCTGAAGTATGAGGGATGTTGGATTTCATAAAAGCATGAGCTAGTTGGATTTTTCATCTTGCAACAAATAAAATATGAGGGAAGGAAATATGATCCCTCAGAACAAATACAAAGCTAATTCCTACTCCAAAGCATCAGATTTTAGAATATACCCAGAAGATGGAATAGTTTAACATTTTTCTTCTGGTTTGATTTGTTGTTGTTTTCATTCTGGAGTAAGGACTTCTATGTGAAGTTATTTTATAGGTTTGTTTATTTATTGGTTTTATTGTCGTTTTTTGATTCCCCTTACAGAACAATCTCCTGTACACATCTGTGCAGCAGAGATAAATGTCACCAGTGTGACACTGAATTTTTTTTTCCTAATTTTAATATATGCAACCAATGTAATCAATTTGTACTGAGTTAAAAATGCAGAAGTTGGAGTGTACATTCTCATCCCAAAGTTGGATCAATATATACTAGTTTGATGGTTATGTAGCTTGTGTTCACTTACCTCTTTCCCCCCCTCTCTCTCTGCAGATAGGTATGTATATATGGACACATGCTCCTAAACAACCTATTTTTTCTCCAGAAGCGGAGTTACATTTAATTTGATTGGTTTTGTTTCCCCTTTAGCTTAGCAAAGTTGGAAGAAGAATTTGAAAAGAAATTCAACAGCCTTCCTCAATACAGTCCTATTACCTTTGACAGGAAAAATTCATCTGTTCCGAGAAAAAAGAGAAAGCTTGGAAGCAGCTCTTCAGAACAACCAAAATCCAACAAAGGTAAATGACCGTGTCTGATACATTCATAAGCAACAACAATGCTACGACAAGCCCAGGACTTTCTTACTTTGCTGTTACATGTGAAAAGTGTGAAGTCAAATAAACCATTTTTCTAGTACTGAAGTTAGTTGGTTCTCACCCGCGTTAGTTTTCAGGCTGTACTTTTGACTCCGGGTTTTCATGCTAAGTAGAACTGGTTAGAGTTTGTACATGAAATAGATTCCTCAAAGCAAGCAAATTTATCAAAACCATTAATATTTGTGAGGTAAGTGAGTTTGACAGTTTTTCCTAGAGAAAATGGGGAAGAAATGGCAGATTATTCAAAGGTTACATTTTGACATTTTTCAAAAGGTAGTTCTATGCTGGTTTGCATTTCACTGTAATTTTAGGTTGTATAAATTAAAACGTAAGATACCAGAGATACCTAAATGAAACATTTGGATTTTTTTTTTTTTTAAATGAAGATTTTAACTCCTATCAAATTTGGAGCAAAAATGTCCTGACATGATAAAAAAAGGTTAGAGAACAGGAAAACCAGTCCCATACCCAGCTCCATTGCTGAGGCTCTTAGAGGGAGAAACTCATGACACATTTGGCTGTTTTATATACAACCTGTGACACAGGGGTGGTAGAGAAGTGAGAATCTGGCAGGGTAAACTACTTTTAGACTGTGGCAGAAATACTGATGCTTACATACAGTGCAGAAGAATCACAAAATGAAGGAGTGGCATACCAGTAATGCTACAAGACAAAAGGATGCTCAAAAGGATCCTCATTATGCACAGTTCACAACGTGAAGCTGGTTTTCTTTTCTGCTGCTATGGTAGTTCCACTGACTGACAAGTTTTCAGATCTAATACAGCTATTTTAGCCAGGTGACCCTGGATTAGGTCCATGCCTTTTGAATGCTTCGCAAATAATCACATTACAGTATGCAGGATTGAGCAGCTGTTCTTTTCTAGTGCATGCCAATTTTGGTATTGATTTTTGTATTTATATAATTACATGTGGAACAGTCAGTCTTGCAAAATGAGGCTTGTGCTAATACCATGTGAGTTCTGGCTTCAAATGCCTTTCATTTTTTTTTGCGGTATGTATTTGACAGAACTTCTTCAATGAGCGTGAATGAATTGCTTTACAGTGTGATAACACAGTGGTTAATGAAGCAGCATCTGTTGGGAACAAGATCTCCTCATCTACCATGATCTGGCACTTGAAGTTGTAATAGCAGCTCCTTGGATTTCTCACTACAGTATTTATCTGTTCAAGTGTCTGTATATCTAAAAAATTGTGCAGGCCCTGTGTTGTTTGGGAACGGCGCGATAGAACGCTGCTACCTCGAGTCTGGTAGCCCAGACCTGCGTTTTGCTTTTGGCTAGGTTCATATGCAAGAGCTTAATTTTTTTTTAGCCTTGTTTGTATCACTTAAAAAGCTTTGGAATATATTCAGCCATGTCTCTCCAGGGAAGGTCAAAAGCATAACTGCAGGCAGGTTACAAACCTGATACAAGCAGTTTTGGCAAGAGGAGGAGGCCATGGAGTATTTGCCTCTAGCTGACAATAAGGGCTCTTTAAACTAAGCCAGCTGACTGCTCTGAAGCAGATGGTAAACAGTCACATGAACTTTTCCACCAACTGAGCTGTGGGGTTGCAACAAACAGCCCCAGGGCAGGAATATCTGATGGTGACACTGCTGTTTCTGTAGTGAACATCTAACCACAGCCCTGAACTAAATCCAGACAGCTAGTGATTATCTGTTTCTAATTTCAATGAATGCTGAATTTCACTCAAATTATCTGGGCAAGCTGTCAGCTTGTGTCAGTTATTCCAGCTCCCTAGAGAGTGAAGTTCAGCTCTCAAGAAGTAGCTGAAAAACTTGCCAACAAACTGTTTTTCTTTTGGAAAAGGAAGATTGCTAAAAAAGTAAATATTCCGTGGCAATGGGTTGATTTTAATTTGGTTTATTTTGTTAGGATGCTTAATATTAGGATGAGAGTTGTGGATTTTAAATGACCTGAACCAAACTGCATACAAGCAAGCTTACTAGCTTAGTAGGGCAGACTGTTCCAGCTGAGCCAAACATTCATTAAGCTGAATCATCAGTTTAATTTGTGGTACTGACAGGCCATTCAGTGCAAAGACAGACAGAGAATACTGACCTCCAAAAGTGTTAAGCATGCAGGTCTGCGTACTGGGCTGCTGCAGGTATTGCAGGAAATGAAAATGGCATGTTGTGCAGAATGATAGAGCTTGGTTTGGAATGGTTCTGGGTTTTTTGACTTATCATGGTTTTTTACACCATCAGAATTAAAACAAAAGTAACATTCTTGCAATGGGATGAATGTGAAGCATGAAGGGTCAGTATAGTCTTATGGGTGTGATTGTGTTGGGATGTAGGAGACCTTAAGTTTGCTCTGCTGTGCTGTGCATTACTGTGTCACGTGGAGTTGTTTCTGCTGCTTTGCTTTTCCTTGGGGTTGTCGCTGTCTGCCAGGTAATTGGAAGAGATGTCCGGTATAAATAGTGCCTTCTAGTGGTTGGAGCCTCTGGATGTTTCCAAACAGCAGATAATAATCACTAGGGGTAGGTTTAGTAAACACTCTTTAAAGTCATTCCCTGCTTTTTCTGAATGAGCATGTGCAGGATCCTAAACTTCCTAGGCATTCACAGTCCTGCGATAAGTACTTAATTTTTGTAGTCTACAGATCAACGCCTACTAAATTATATTTAAAATTTGGAAAATAGGTTAAAGTGCTGCACACTAAAATTTCCCCAGGATTATTAGGTGAGTAAAAATGGATAAATCTTTTTGTTTGTTGGTTTTGGCTCTAGCCCCATAACTAGAGCTGTATGCTTTAATATGTTTTATTTTGGAGTAAATGGTGCCAGATTGATTTTCTGGCAAATGTCATTGACTTGTACCTACAAAAGGCCTGATCTACTCCCAAACCCAAGCAGCCAGGATTGTCAGGATGTTTTCCTATTCCTGAGCAGAAAATCAGTGAGTCGGTGTCCAGTGACTCCTTCCATTGTGCTTGTCATGTCCAGTCCTCACTTCAGCCAGTTCTTTTCATATAAAAACACCTGAAGAACCCTGTAATGTGAAAGCTGCTTCAAATCCACACATATAAGGGAAAACTTGAACTTTCTTCAATGAGAGTAATTTTTTTTTTCCCAAAGCTTTCCAAAATGTCCGAATTCTGCTCCCACTAAAATTAATGGGGATCTTTCTTCAGTGGGAGCTGGGTAGAACAAGCCATAACACTGGCAAGTTGTACCTCAAGTATTTTGAACTAGGAACGTGCATATACAATTATAATGCCACAAAATGGCTGAAAATACAACTATACTGAATGTGTGCAGATGGCCTGCTCTGACATTTGCTGGAGCTGTGACTGATTCCTTTTTTTTCTTCTTCTTTCCAATGGCATATGTGCCAAAACATCCCACCACACACAAGTCAGCAGTCTGCAGTGAGTCACTAATCCGCTTGTATGCAAAAATGAGCAACAGGCATAGTCATTATTTCTGCCTTGTGCTGTGAAGAAATGCTCACTTATACCCTAAGCACGTCACTAGCGCTTTCGTTTTGGGAAGGCAAGGAGAGGAATGCGTAGAGTGCTTTCATTTGGGAAAGGAATTGTCTACTTTTTTGTGTGTGTGTGTGTCTGTGGCCTCTAGGACTAGAAATAAAGCATCCACTTAAATCGGATGCTTCTTTGTGGCATTCCTCTCGGTCTTAGCTCAGGGGTTTTTTTTGGCTCAGTTCAAAGCATTCAGATGCCTGGAGATCGAATGCTGTAATGTTCCAAAGATCATGACCTAAAAATACAGCCTCTTCCTCCTGAGAGATGTGGAAGTGCACAGACAAATCTCTTTGTCCTGTTTTTTTTAGGACCGTGTTGAAGTGTTCTCGATTTGATCAGGCCCTTTAAAATAGGGAACTTTGTGAGAGCAGAGGGGGAAATGCGGAGGAAGTGCAGTTATGGTTCGTTATGTATGGTGGGTTCATTTTCTTGCTGGCTGCTTCCCCAAGCAGCTGCCATGTGGTGTAACAAGTATTCCCAGGAGGAAAACCCTACCACCCTCAGCCAGCACTATGGATGAGCGTGGGATTAGCTCATCAGGGGTTAAATCCTGTGGCAACTGCTGAGGTGCTGGGGAAAGGAAGAGCCATGCAGAATAATTTCCAATAGAGAAGATGAGCAGGAGAAAAGCACTTCACACTTACAGGTGGCTGTATAACAATAGGAAGTAAACTAACCTTAAAAGGGTTTTTTCAGCTTTCTATAGGAAATCACATCCAGAGTCCACTGTCTAACAGCAAGCCTTGTAGGTTAGTTATTTTTTTCAGTCATGGATTTTCTCTGGATGGAATGTTGACACGTGGCATTTGTGCAAAGTCTGGGAGTATTTGCTTGCTGTCCCCACAAAACAAGTGTAACCCAGCCAGCCATCCTGTGGACTCCTGCGTGGGCCAGGCAGCCTCAAGGGTGACCTGCTAGTGAGAATCTGAAAAGGGATATTACCTCTGTCCCAGCCAAAACCAGCACATGAGCTCACCAATGCCCCCTTCCTTGTTCAGCCTTTCCTACATGCAGATGTCCTCTCTGGTCCACACTGCATTTTGCCTTCTCCTTATTGGTTTAGTTCAGTTAGTTTCTTTAAAAAAAGCTCTGGTTTCACACCTGAATGTGCCATGCAAAGAATCCTGTGTTTGGTAATTCATTGGCTTAGACCTTAATCTAAAGGCAGGATGGGATGCAGCTGTTTCAAAGAACTACTAGATAATGTAGTAATTACTATAATTACTACATTAGTGCACAGAAAACACACTTTTTCAAATACATACTTTTGGTTAATTAAAATTATTAATTACTAGAGAATTTATGTGTATAAGTGTGAGAGTGAATGTAATCTGCCTTTTCACAGAGGATAGTGAGCATATCCTCTAGTTCACTCCAAGTAGTTCAGGCAGAGGGTGTGGATGAAGTTTCTCATGGAGTCAGAAGTTACATTCTCAGGTCCAAGAATGACATGTTGACTTACTTAGTTATTAGCCCATCTTCTCTTTCACTGCATTCATGACCAAAGGGCATTTAAGTGTCAATGGGCACCGTCTCACAGGAATAACAGCTAAAAGGGTAGGAAATCAGAAGTTCCCTTATGAAAAGACAGCTTCTCTTTTGACCCCACTGAAGTCAGTGTCCTTGGATTTGCCATTTGGGAACAAAATTCTACATGCAAGTGGCATGTGTCTTGGAGTGCCCTACATGTTGCATATACAACCTTATGGCAGTAGTGCCTTGGATGGTAGAAAAGATGTAGAAGACACGAGTTTCCCTCTTCGTGCAATGCTTGTCATCTTTTTGTGAGTTTTTAATCTCGACTGTTCTGCTTAGAGTTGCTGGTGCTGGCTGACAGTCTGTGATACTGATTGAAAAGGTCTGTGGGGTGCAAGTTGAGCTGTAGAAATTGAGACTTCTGTGTAACGTGTGGCTTATTCCAAGCACCTGCAAAAATCACTGCTTTGCTAATTACAAAAATCAAAATGTCATAAGAATAATTTAGTTATGTACCTTTACCTCTGTCATCTTGTGGAACTGTTGTGGGAAGACTTGTCTCTGTTGATGTGAAGTGTTTGTCCTTATTCTTCAGAAAAGGTGTTTTTTCACTTAGGCTTTCCCGCAGCCTGCCTGAGCTTTCTCATTCCTTGTTTTGCATTTTTATTACACTGACACTAGACTGCTTATCCAGCTCTGTGATACTCAGGAAGCTACTGTTTGCAGAATGACACTTCAATCAGTTTCAGTGAATGTGGCCTCTTCTGTTGAACTGATACTTTCTGTACAAGTTCTAGCGAAGCTATTCAGATTCAAGCTGATGTTGCCTAAGATGATGTCTTGCTTGGATGTTATTTGGTTTGTTGTTTGATTTCTAGATTTTTTTGGAGATTATTAATCTTTTCCTAAAGTTTTGATTTCTTCAGTAATAAAAAAAAAACAAGCAATGGTGAGCCACAAAGCCAATATGTACAAAATTTTAGGATTTCTATGCCTGTTTCTGGCTGTATTTTAGATTTCTCTCAGTAATTTTCAATATTATTCAAACAACCTGGTGTCTGTGAATGGTTTTCCCCTCATAAGACTAGATCCTTCTTCCATGTACCACACATTTCTCCTCCTTCCCTGCATATGTATAGTCAGTGATAGCAAATTGCAGATATATGATGTAGACTTACCTTGATTGCGTGTTACTATGTGGTTGCAGTTGTGTCTTCGTAGCCAGTGTGCGTGTGTCTGGTTCCTTCTAAGGATGAGGAGGAGTGCGTGTTACTACATGGTTGCAGTTGCATCTTAGCAGCCAGTGTGTGTGTGTCTGGTTCCTTCTAAGGATGAGGAGGAGTGGAGGAGGTCTGTATTTGTGGTGGGTAGTATCCTGTTCCAAGGCAGATGCAGATGGGAAGGATGCCCTCTTGTTAGGCTGTAAGCTGTCTTTTCAGCTGCAGTGCATCTCATTGCTGTTTGGGCAGTTCTGTTCTGAGCTAGCCTGAAGACTTGCTTGCCTGCTGTATCTTTGGAAATAAGATTTTTAAATGTAGTTTCTGAAAAGCAACTCCATAAGAGCAGCTTTGCAGCACAAAGGTGATGCTTCTGTTGTATCTTTGGTCTGTTGTGTCTGAGTTCCTGTTATATCACTGTTTACTCCATTAATGAGACAAAGGATGGCTTCTTGATGACCTCTGCTAGTGGCATACTTTGTGGTCTGATGTCACATAAGATATCTTCTGACTATTACTATCAAAGACTCTGCTATCAAAGTAGTAATGATACCATGAGCTGGGCATAACCTCCCCTTCCTCTCCTGAGAGCTTGTACTTCTGCACTTAGTATAAACTCATTTCTGGTCACCAAAAAGGCAAAGGTAAATCTTGCATCCATCCTATGGTGGGTTGGCCCTGGCTGGTAGGTAAGTCCCCACCATGTCACTGGCTCGCTCTTCCCCAGTGGGATGGGAGAGAGAATGGGAAGGGCAAAAGCAAGAAAAAAACTTCATGGGTTAAGATGGAGACAGTTTAATAAGTGAAGGGGGGGACAGGGGAGAAACAAGTGATGCAAAAGCCAGCACTCCCCAACAAGCTGATGCCCAGGCAGTCTCTGAGCAATCACTGCTTCAGAAAAAACTCTACCTAGAGTTTTATTGCTGAGCATGGCATTATCTGGTATGAAATGGTCAGTGTGAGTCAGCTGTCCCCACTATGTCCCCTCCCGACCTCTTGCACACCCTCAGCCTATTCGCTGGGGTGGCAGAGTGAGAAAGAGAGATCTTGATGCTCTGTAGACACTGTTCTGCAGTAACTAAAACATTGGTGTGTTAACAACAGTTTTTGGTCACCCAACACAGCACCATCCAGGCTGCTAGGAGGAAAGTTTACTCCATTCCAGTCAAACCTGGTACGCATCCAAAAGAGAGCGTATCCTTAAACAAACAAGCAAGCAAACCCCTTGTTTTATTGTATATCTAAGCTTTCCTAAGGTTATAATTCTCCAAAATGCTTTGTATGCACTTAAGCATTGGGAGCTGATGGGTTGAAGTACAGCCTGCTGAAAGCCTTCAGAGTCCATTCTGGGCAGAAAGTCAGGTTGTGTGCTTCCCCAGGAAATGGCATCCTGGATTAGTGGAAGGGGAGGTTATATAGTACAGACTGTTACTGTTGTACTCTTTTTAAAACTGCTAATTAAAAGTATGTATTATTAATGTTGTCTGTAGGTTCATTCCAGTCTCAGAAAAAGAACTTATTCTACAAAATTGTCAGCAAATGTAAGCACAGAAAGAGGAAGCTTAATGTTCCGGACACAGGTACTGGTGCATTACTTAGTTAAGGTTTTGGGCTGTCTTCTCTCTCAATTCAGTCTTGGGGAAATGCTTCTAGACAGAGGCTACTCAGCTCTCTAGTCTTTGATTGCTTTGGTCCCTTATTTCCCTGTCTGCTTTGATTCCATTAGCTCCTGACTCCAGTTGATCATATTACTTTATTCCAGTATGGTGCTGTTTTGTTTTTAATTGGCATCTCCCATAATTACAGTTTCCCTGCTCCAGACGCCATGCAGCAGAGCTGACAAAGCAAGGGCAATTCTGCAGTTGGTCCTGAACTGTATCTTCCACAGCTCATAGCTCTCTAGTCCTTTGGTTGCTCTCAGCTCCATCCCTTCTATATCAGAGACCTTATTATTTATCCCTTTACCAGAGCATTTATCCATGTCCCTATCTCTTCTCCCTGTGATTTCCTGCTGTATAGACCTTTGCAGACTGCAGCTGGTCAGGATGTAAGAGCTTGTTTCTGCACCAGATCTCAGAAATACTAACCTAAACCAACAGTCTCACTGTAGAAATGTTAATTAGCCTTCTGTTTGCCTCAGACTGAAGATAACTTTGACATTTTTTTTTGTCAAGGAGTGTCCTAGACTTGCTCACTACCCTGCTGGTAGCTCTCCCAAGTCTTTGTCTTGTTACAGTATTGTGGCCCTGGATACCTACGTACTCACAACTCTGAGGGGCATTTTTGTGTGTACATTATGTACAGGGTTATAGCTTAGCGTGCTTCTCTGGGCCCTTTTTTTTCTTTTGTAGTTATGTTGCCCACACCATCCAAATCATGTTCAGGTTGTTCCTTAGCCTTTCCACAGTGGAGTTCTCTCCTGTATCATCCCTGAGGTGTAGAAGCGCCTCCTTGGTCCAGCTTATTTAAGTAGCTCCATTAATTTATTCCCTTTTTTTCCCCATCCGTATCCATCTCTAAGATAATAAAACTACTGTCACCACCTCCAGTTTCTCCAGCTACCTTTATGCTTAATATCTTAAAAAAAATTGGCCATGTCATTTCCTTTCCTTTCCTGACGCTGTGTTTTCTGTCCTCTGTGGTGCACATGCACTATTTTCCCACATAGGCTCTGCCAGCTCTGCTGCACTCGGTGGCACAAATATTTTGAAATTCCTTACTCTGTTTTGTTGTATTTGTACAACGAACATGTTGTGGGACTCGCTTATGAGAAGTAACTATCTTGCTTCTATGCCGGTGTGAAAAAGGCATCATACATTAACATAGCTTTTATTGGGTGCCATTCAGATTTTTTGTCCCTGAATTATTAATCAACCACATAGACAAATTAGTAAGAAAAATGAGTGTTTAAATTCTCCTGTTGGGAAAGAAACAGAAAGCATTCAATACATGATAGGGTAAAAAAATATAAATATCTTAAAATCTGGAGATGTAAAATGTGGCTAAACAAAATGTCAAAAACCTCCATTTGATTAAAAGAAACCAGCCTGTTTTGATATAAAGTGAAGTGTGCACTATGATCAAAGATTCAAGCCTGGCAAGTGTTGAGTACCCTGGCCTCATTCCAGCACAACACAGAGGCATGTCCTTGGAAGTTAAGCATGTGAATAATGTCAGCATGTCTAAACATTAAAGATGTGTCTGTGCATTTGCTGGAGTAGGGCCAGTTTGCCAAGTTCCTCCCAAGACTGAAGCAAAGACGTGAGGAACTTACCAGTCTAACACAGCCCACGTAGAAATCATCAAAGGAAAGACAGTGGGTGCATATATTGGTGGGGAACTGCATTTTCTCTGTGTTACAAAGGGAAGAGAGTCTGGGGTCTTGCCTGCTCTTATGTGTACCGTGTAATGACACTGAAAATGAAATGTTGATCAGCAAAGTGCAGCCTGAGTGTGGCCTTGGCAGGTGGCCTACAGCCTTGCCATCATGTGCTGCCTACGTAACTTCATCCTTTCACGAGTTCCTAGGCAGCGAGGAGGCCCTGAACTCTTTGACTCCACTGTCCCATATTCTGCAGCACTCAAGCTGAGAATCCCAGCGTCTTCATCTCAATTCAAATACAGAAGGATTTAGTGAATCAAAAACTAAATGAAAATCACACCTCCTTTTTGTGGTTAGTCTGTTCTTGTGGTGAGTCACAAGTCTGTAACGTGTGGGTTTTGGTTTTATGGAGTGAGTTTTGCTGGAAGAAGGAGCTTGAATATTCTTATAGGTGAAGAGGAAGCACTTGGAAGGGTTACTGACAGCAGAGGTCATGCTGGATTCATGTTTTGTTGTCTTGAAAAGCGTGTGTGCTTGTGTACGTGTTTGTTTTGAGTGAAGTAAAGTAAGTGCAGTGAAGGCAAACTTTGATGTGATTGGATCATGTTGTCTGGGTTTGTCTCTGGTTTGAGTATCTGAGTGAATGTTGACTCCGTGTGACCACATTGTATACAGCAGCACCAGTGCAAATCACCGTATTATGAGTTTGCAGGTGTTACAGAGATAGATACAGCCCAGTAAAATACCACAACCCCTGCTCCTCCTGGCAGGGAGCACACAGTAGTGCAACTGACTATGTTAAGATAGTCACTTCCTTAGGAAGGCTGACAAAAGCACAGCTGGACCCATCCCTGTTTGGGGAGGTTGAACACCACTTAGCTGAGAGAGATATTTTCTGCCACACTATCAAGGCTTTCTGGTGGGAAGCAGTACCTTAAATAACAAGAGGTAAGTCACAACCATTCCCTCCTTGCAGGTACATTTAGTGAGCTGTGCTGAGGGCTCTTGCATGGTTTGTGTAACAACCAGGTGCAGCGCTGGCCATTGCACCGGGAGGGGAGAAGAGATTGACATATACACCAGTCTCAGCACTTGCTGATGTGCGAAGGAGCTCCATCTCCTGTGGCTGGTAGAGCTAAGTGCCTGCTACTGATCTTCCATCAGCTCTCCCACATGCACATCAGTCTACAGCCTTAGCACACATGTTTGAGAAAGAACAGAAAGTGCAGAAAATTATCAGAATTACCTTTTTTTTTCTTCTTTTTTTTTTTCTCTTCTGCTGAGAAAGCCCTGTTGTGTGGGGCCTGCAGCCCAGAGAGAGACAGCAGCTCTGTGCCACTGTGCCTTCAGCATCCATCCAGGCTGGAAGAGGGCTGGGTCAGCATAGGCTCTTGCAGCAGAGCTTCCCATGCAGGTAGCTGTTCCATACACCTGGCTTGACCATCTGCTGCTTTGTCACTCTGCTTTATTAGTCCCCAGCCCTTGCTGCAGCTGCGTATGCCACCAGACCCCATGAGCCGTATTGCAGCAGCATCCCATTGTCAGAAGGACTGGAACTTCCACCAGGGTGTAGGTTAGAGTGTGCTTGGTGTCACTTCCTTGGTGAAGTGGTTCCCAAGGCACTGGTGCAGAGAGTGCTACTTGAAGCTTTAAGGCTCTGCCTTGCTAGGCTTCTCCTTCTTAATTTAACTGAAGACCGTTAAACCATTACAGCCCACCTTTCCCTCTTGATACCAGCATGCTTGGACCTACAGAGCATTCATTCTCCACTAGATGTGGTTAAACTCCTGCAACTCTCTCAGGTAATGCACATAGCTGAAGAAATTATTTTCAGTGTCTTGTGTCTCGATGAGGTTCAGTTTGAAATGCTTGTCCTCTTCCGTGGTGTGCCGAGTCAATCCAGTTGACTTCATTTTTCTTCTTCACAAAGGCAGATAATAGCTCTTCATTCTTGAGTGAGACCAGTACCCAATTCAGCCTTTTCACATACCACTGCCTCTGTGATTTGAGTGCATTTTCCAAAGGGAGTTCTGTCTTACCCCATCCTTGTTCAGCATGGGATAAAGATGCTGTGTAATGCACATTACTGCTGTTCCTGAGAGCAGCTTTGCTTTAATGGTGTACTGTTACACTGCAGCCTTAAAATCAGGGTTAGCAAGTTAGTTCTCATCTCCAGCCATAAGCTTTACACAAATAGTGATGGTTGATATAAATGAGGAGTACCAGGGCAGCGAGTCAGGTCTTTTAAATCCTTGTTTTCTCTCTTTGTTGTGTGGCTTGGTTTTGGTTTTTGGTTTGTTTTTTTTTTTTTTCTTTTAGTCAGATGAGGACTTGAGTTACAGCTCAGCCAGTTTCTGATCTGCTATGTCAGACCTGTGTTCTGTTACACGGCATCTTGCACTCTACGCTTGGTTCCTTCTTGCATTGTAGATGGGGCGAAATAAGACTACATGTGGTCTGCAAGGCCTACAGAGTAAACTGTCCATGCTAACTGTAACAAATCTAGCTCGGGAAACCATCTAGCATAGAGCTTTAGATGTTCTTCTCTCAAAGTCATTTTTGTGACTGCAGTGTAAGCATGCCAAAAGGCCCGCATCGTCATATCATGTGCTCAGCTCTGCTTGCAAAAATAGCCCTCTAGTTCTGCATGTGCTACTGTCATGTGGAAAGCTAACCGGGTAAATACAGTAGCTGCAGAACCTCATTTCATTTCTAGACATCATTCTTCTGAAAATCAGCTGAACTTTGACATGGGACAGCTCTTGAACACAGGACAGTGTGGAAACAGAAAGGATATGAAATGGATTAAAGAAATTGTTAAAAACAAATTTAGGGCATTAAACTTGTTTAGCTCTGTCCTTTCTGCACAGCAAAACCAAGTCCTGGTGTGGAGCATCCATATGGATATACCTTTGTCAGTGGAAGCAACGGGGTGCTGTTCCTCTTGAAGGAGGTCCGGGATGAGGACCCCAGTTAGCATGTAGCTGAGCTTTATGATTGTTGAAGCATGGACTGCTTTCTCCTCTGGAGTTCAGTGCAAAGGCTCTTGTGGGTGAAGCCTTTGTGTGATTTCCTCCAAGTTAGGTTTTATGTCTGCTTGAATAACAATCCATAAAGAAGTCAGTGAAATGATTTCTCATCCCATAAGACTGCTAGAGAAGCAGCTCAGCACCCAGCCTCTACCCCACACACACATAAAAAATTACTCATTCACTGTTCACCCTTAATCCTTCCTTATTCCAAGCTGTATGGCAGCAATGTTATGATGAAGTGATAAAGAGCTTACTTGGGAGCGAGAGGAGGAAAAAAAACCATAAAGGATTCTCAAGTCTCATTTCAAGGATTCTGAAACCTTGATACCTGGAGACGGAATATGCTTGCTGCATCCAGATTGTCAGCCACACTCTGTTGTTTCTTAGTCAAACCACCAGTATAATACTTCTGCAACAAATCTGTTGCATATTTTCTTAGTTTTATGTCTTTAATAACTATTGACTCTTTTTATTTATACCTTTCACTATTTTTTCCTTATCTCTAATTTCTTGAGCTTTTTGATGCTTATAATATGAGAAAGAAAAGCAGTGTTAAAGGGAGCTCTCTACTGTATTGACCAATCAAGTTAATTTCCAGTGACCTGACATGGCCTGTAATATACAGTGCATCTAATTAAAAACATACCAAATCAAATTTCTCTGTATTGTATGCTGTTTGAAATAATGTCTTAGTATTTTTATTAAATGTAAAAAATAAGTATTACTTGTATTACTAAGATTAAAGCCATTATAAACTCAATCAAAGTAGAATTAAACAACACTGTCAAAGTACTATGTAATTAGAGCAAGTCATCAAATCAAAATTAACAAGTAGTGTTGGACTACAACCAAACCATTACATTAATATGTAATCAATGCTTATGAATCCCTAAATAAGAATTCTGGAGAGAAAGCTGCCCATTTAATTATACATTCAAATTAAGATTTTGGTCTCAGTCGGTGCAGTCAGCTTATCTGAACATCTCACTGTTAGCCCAATTGAGTTACTTGAAAGTCACATTTGCAGTCATTGGCACTTTCTTAATTGGACTCTTACAGAGCAGATCTTTTCTTGTGATTTCTCTTGCTCTCTTTACAAAAAAATAAGTTTTACAGCATAGCTCTGCTCTGGAAAGGTTAGCAGCTGTGACTAAATTGAGAAAAGCTAACTGAAGCTGTGTGCTTTTTTCAAAATAAAGAACGTGCTCAAGTTGAAAAATGTTTTACAAGAGAAGATATGAAGGTGAATTAAGAACACAAAGTTTGGAACATTTCCAAATATTTTTATACATATGTACTAGATCTGATTGTATTCTTATGCCATAAAACATTAAAAGGTTCCTTCCCACTTAAAATGAAAGAGCAAAGGGCAACAGCTAACAAGGTAAAATGTGTTACAGCTATTCTCTTCACCCACGCCACATCCTCACGGAGTTAAGAGTTAAAGAAGCTAGCAAAAGTTAGAGGCTATACTAGCCATATCTTTGAATAGGAAGCTCATTAAATCTACAAACCAAACAATAAACAATAGATACACAGTAAAATGAAACAGAGCAGAGTCCATGCAGACTGCTTGGCTGTTGTGCGTGGTTCGTGGGGTTGGGTGCTCTTGTGTGACACAGCCCGTCTCGGTGTAGGAGGTCGGTCATGTTCAGTGCTGAGCCCTTCTGAAAGAACAGTTGTTTGCACTCCAGCTTCAGTTTTGTGTATGTAATTTTTGCTGGTCCTTCCACTCAGAAAGTGAATAGCTGGATCTTAAGCCTGTCTTTAAAACAGGGGAAAAAAAGACTGAAAGAAACTGAGGGGAAGAGGACGCTAACTGTAGACACAGTAACAGCTGTGAAATATGTAAAGGGCTGTGGCAAAGAGATGGGTTATAACCTGATGGGTAGTGATGAAAATAACGAGTTAAATATGCAGCAGGGGAGATGAGGTGCAGGCATTAGGAAAAAATACGTGATTACTCAGGATGGCAGTGCACTGGGAAAAAATACCCCGAGGACTTGGTGCAGACACCATGAGTGCTCCCAGTTTCAAAACAGGTTAGACAGGCATCTGTAAAAAAATGACTTGGACATTCCCTTTGTTACCTGTAGTCTCTTTCTAACCATAGCTTGTGGTGATCACAGGTGGGGTAGACCTCATAATCCTTTTATCGCAGGAGTGAAAAAAGATGTCCCAGATCAAATTTGTGGACTAGTGATACCCGTTGCTATCAGCAGTAGGGCTTATTAAATCAGTTTGGAAATTAAAAACGATTGACAGCTACGCACTGATCTCAGAATTTGCAAACTTAAATACATTTTGTGATTACTGTCTGACCGGTTTCTTCATGAACAAGATTAAAGGGACTGTTTAATCAGGTGAAAATTTGTGGTCATGTTCTAGTTCAGGGCAGAAGACTGGTTTGAAATGACAACACTGGTACTGTTGAGAAAGGTTCAAACTGTTCCTTTCTCACTCTCTGACTTTATGTAGGCAGTATTTCCATCGCAGTGTTTTATCCCGTGCTTACTGTCTTATTTTAGCATTCTTGTCTTCAACTGTGATCCAGTTCTGCTTTTGTATTTGCTGCCTTTCAGGTGTTTTAAAAAGGTTTGTTGTTTTGTACAAGGCGGCATTTCCCTCTGCTTAGAGGAGACTACATAGAGTGACTATAGAGATAAGACTGGGGGTTAGTCAAGAATTCCTGAGTTCTACTTATGAGTCCATCTGTGGGCTGAGATAAGTTTATGTGGGGACCACTATTGTTCCTTAAATACATTTTTGTCTCTTAGCTACTTGCTGGCATCTTCTGTTGCAGAGCATTTTATAAAGACTGAAATCCTGCTTCCACTGAAGTGCTACTGCCCATATACAGTTTCCTTTTTACAAGTACTAGAAACCTGAACCCTCTGGAATATCTTTTAAGAGCTGATGCTACTATTTCTTGCAAGTATCTGCAGCATTCAGATCGTATCTTGCCATGGGTTATGCTCTGAGTCCCTGTGAGGGAAGGCTTTATGCAGATAGATGCAAAATATTAAATGAGCATAACTAGTAGCTGTATTATTCTAAGTGTAAAAGTGCATTTTTGTCTTCTTTCAGCCATACTCTCAGAAGACAGAAATTCCAGTGAGTCTGCCTGGAAGAATAAAATTTCTATATCTGCCCTGAACACTCCAGAGCCAGCAATGATGCATGAGCCTTTAGTTGGCAGCCAGAAAAGGAAAGCAAGGAAAACTAAGATCACACATCTTGTCCGAACAGCAGATGGTCGAGTGTCACCAGCAGGAGGGACGACGGGTAAGGAAACTGGAGTTTAAATGTTGTTAAAATGGAATGGTTGGAGAGCTTTTTGGAGTACGAGCAACCTGTCAGGGAAGTATTTTTCAGTTAGCTGGGTTTCATACCTGCTTTGAAAGGTCGTTCTTTAAAATACAGGTCTCCATCAACTGGGACATCAGTGAGTCCATAATAACCAACTTTTTTTTTGTTTGAATGCCCAAATCTGTCTTCTCTCTCTGGATATTTCTCTCTAAGAACTGAGAGCTGAGATAAAGAGAAATGGAAAAAGAGTTACCTTTCGTAATATTTTTCCAGTTCAGCAAAGAAAATATATTGCACCTAGCTATAGGATGTAAAAATGAATTCCATAGTATGACAGTCAACGCCACAGTCCTTTGCAGGAGTCCTCTGCAGTCAAGATAATCTTTCAGGACATCTGCATCTAAAATGTACACAAAAGTTCTCTTGCCTGACCTAAAAGATCAAACTCAGTTGAATGCAAAATCAGTAAACTGCTTCATAAACCTTAGTACTGTGCTTCTGCCAATAGCTTGGGTCAGAAGAGGTTGCAGGATGAATTGGATTACACTTGCAAAATCAAAGTCCTGAAGGTAAAGATTCTGTTAACACTGGACTAGTCAGTATATCAATGGGCTGCTGGGGATTTAAGGGCTAGGTCTGCAAGCTTAACTTTATTTTATTGCAGAGGAGAAGCCAAAAGAGCTGCCACAAAGTACTCCTCAAAAAACATCAAGTGCAGAAACAGATTGCAACAGTGAATGCTCCAGAAATGCAGAGGCAGAAGAAAATCATAGTATTACATCAGATATGCCAGCGGTGTCTGCATTTTTTAGCTTAGCTGCTCTGGCAGAAGTAGCAGCCATGGAAAATGTACACAGGTAAGGTTTTCTTTTCCCTTTGTTGTCTAAGCAAATAGTATGCAGCTGTCAGCTTCTTTAGCAAGCATGTGAATTGCAAACTGCTTGATTTGGCCTGTGTTTCCTCTTCCATAGCTTTCTATGAATGTCTGTTTTACACCACTTGCTTAGCAATGTTAAGTCTTCACCTAAAGGACAACGTAATCTATCTCAGTAGTCAGTAAAATGATTTTCCCTGTTAAGCTTGCCTTCCAATTTTTGTATATAAGCAGGTTTGTATGCTCCTTGAGATCCTATCAGTTCAGGGTTTTTAATTATCAGATGCCATTTTTCAGATAATAGCAGGTTTAAGTAGCTGTTGCATGCTGATTTGCATTTTTCAGTGGCCTAAGACTGTGGAGAGAATTTCATATACCTTCAGCTGAAGTTTTCATGCTGAACACGACTGAAGGAAGCTAACTTGTTCTTTTTACTTGTGATTTGCTGTGTAGGAGGCAAAGTGGTCTACAGAATGACGTGGGGCAGAACAACTCTGGGCGATGGAAAGCCATGTTAGTTTGGGTTGGTCCTCTCAGTTACTGAGTGTAGACTGTCCACACAGAGAAGGTGGAGAACGGGAAGGTTACTTAGGGCTTTTGGTTCAGTTTAACATGGTCAGATCCTGCATGCTAAACCTGTATTGGGAGGAAACCAGTGACAGCAAGTCCTCCTTGACTCTTAATTATCCAGTGTTGTTCTTTGATGCTGCAGTTTACTGGAGATTAAATCCCATCCCATCCTGCAGTGGAAAGTCAGTGAGAAAATGCTGTGGGCCAGTTTGAAACTGTCACAGCCTCTGTAAATGGCATTTGACAGATTGCTGGCTGCTTAAGAAACAAATTCCACGAGGCAGAGGTTGATGAAACCGTTCACAACCTCATTTTACTGTTGCTTTCGTGGCCACCATCAACTAACCTGGTCCTGTGTGTTCAGGTTGCACATCAAACAGTGAAATGCTTTTTAGAAGCTCAGGGATCCTACAAGAAAAAAAAAAGTCAACTGAACCCAGCCTGCATGCTAGCTCTTCTCTGCAGAAGCTGTTGTCTTTCATAAGCAACACTGTTTTGGGTGAGAAGTGTTTTCACACTGCAGTCAGCCTGGCCTTTCCTCCCAGCTTTGCGAAACAAGAGTCTGTTATCAAGACCGCAAAAGTCTGAACTCGTTTCTGTCATCTTCTGTGATCAGAAGCCACAAAATGAGACTTGGGAAGCGCTGTGCTAAGCTCTGCTCTCATTCACACCCTTGTGGTTTCATTCATTTCCATTAACACTGACCAGAATTGCACAAGAACAACAGGAGTCACTTTGCTGTGGTTTTTCCCTCTTTGTTCCTGTGGGAGTTCTTGTCCCTGTTGAAGTGAGCTAATGTTTTACGTACCCTGCTGTTTGGGTCTTTCTTACTCCCGCCTTTTGTCATCTCATCATGCAGCTAGAACAATGCAGCACCTTCCATGAAACCAGAAAACACCAAACAGGCACATGTCCAACAACTGTTGCAAATTGCAGCTTTTAATCACTCCAGGGGGAAAGAAAACAGGGGAGGACCTTTTCCTAGTAGAAACTTAGCCATGTCTCTCGCAGGCTTGGCAAGTGGAAGTCAAAACAGAAACCTAAATCTGATGGGCTAGATGCCTCTCTATTTTCTGCTCTGTTGACTGTTTCTTATCTTTTGCAACTTGCTTCTTTATTTGCAAATAGCTGGAAATGAGAACAGCAGCATTAAAGGTTTGCTGGATGTGTTTCTTTAGTGTCTGAATTTAATTATTAAATAATTTCAGAGCCTTAGGCTGTGGAAGCCAAACTCCTTTTTAACTGTAATTAGAGCTTGTCTGGAAGTGGTGGCGTGGTTTTCATTTGAAGGCTTCTGTTTAGCTTTATTTACCTTGTACATGCTCCAGTTAAGCACTATGAACCTGAGCAGCATTTTGTGCCAAGGCCACTTCATTGCACTCCAGTTGTGTGAAGCATGTTGGTACCTCTGTTTCTACTGGGATCTGAGCTGTGCCAGAGTGAAGTGAAGAGGCCTTTGTGTAAATAAGAAGTGGACTCCCCAGATTTTCATTGCTGCAGATGACACATACTGTAACAAAAATAGAACCTGACTTGTGAGATTAGCTAACAGGCGGTGTCGTGCTTTGTGTATGTATTTTAAAAGGCAAGCTGCAAAGGAGCTCTCCCAAGTCCATCTGCTACAATGATTGATGTTGATTTCCAGCACATAATTTTGGCGCAGTTTATTTTTATGATACCCTGTGCCAGGGGATCATTTGTAAATTAACACTGCTGTAGTAATGAAAGAGATGTTGTGCTGTGCTGATGAAGTGTTAAGTCATGAAATTTGGAGTAATCCCAATGTGCAACTCTGCTGCTGAGTGTATTTCCATATTGCTTAAAAGCTGGCTATTGACTCACGTTAACATGACACACACCTCTCTGCTTTTATCTTCTTTTGCCACACAAGAGCTGTACTCTCCGCTTCTGAGGGCTAAAGCTGCTCCCTTACAAAATGAGTAACCCCACTTGTGTGCTCTTAACTTACTCTTCAACCGTGTATTTTGTTTTGTGTAGTCAGATACCACGACGTCTTGGTTTTGCCTGACTTCACCTTGTGTTGCAGGTTGTCCTGAGGTTATTGTGTAACTGTACCTCTAAAAAGAGCGTGTAACCATGTTACGTGGATGTCTGTAGCAGCAGGGAGTGACAGTGCTGTCATGTGGGATGTTAAACCACATCACGTGTCACTCCCCATCGTTTCTGATCTGATAAAAGCACCTCCCATGCTCCAAATAATGATAGGTGGCTTTTCTTTTCTTCTTTTGCAGAAGTCAGAGGGCCACACCTCTCCCACATGACGGACAGCCAAATGAAATGTCTCAGGCTCCAGTGCTTATTTCCTGCGCTGACCAGTGAAGCTCCACTTTATTGTAAAACATTGTGCTTTACCTAATATCCTAGCCTTGTCTTTACCAAGGGAAGCTAGTCAGTCCATATGATGGAAACTATAGACTGCAAGCAAGTGCTTATTGCTCTGAGTGGCCCAGAATTCACTGGAAGCCAGATGTTAGCAACTTGGGCCAGGTCCTCAAATCGGAACCCAGATATGTAGGAGGGTGATATTAATTGTCTATTAATGAAGAGAAACGGAGTGATCCCAGAGCTTGCTTTCTATTGAAGGCTTTTAAACAGTAAATAGGTGGTTGGTGTGAAAAAGGCTGCCTTTACTGTTAGCTCACACAGCGTCTCTTTTATCAACCAGAGAGTACGGCAACTAGTTTCGTATAATACCTAGTTATTCTAAATGAAAATTAAAAAAGAAAAAAAACAAAAAACAAAAAAAAACCAACAACGACAAAAACACTGACGCACTGCAGTAGTTATTATTAGATATTCTTAGTCATTTTTGTACATGAAGATTTAAGTTCTAAGATGGTTTATATTAATAGGTTATGCCTACGTTTATATTGTAGAATGAATTTAAAACCTGTTCCAGAGAACTCAAGGCAGCCTGGACAGATGTACCATTGTTAGCGGTGTTTGGGCAGCCATGTGGTCCAGATGTTCTGCACTTTTATATTTGCCACCAGAGTGGTAGAGTTTACTGGCAAAAATTCTGACAGGCTATGATGTTTGGGTTTGTTTCTTTTTAATTTAGCTTTGAATAACCAGGATGATGTGCATTAGAAAAAGGAGTGGTGTATGGAAAAGAAAATACTGCAGATAATTGACTTGTCTTTCATGCCTTTGGAGGGTTCCTTTATTTTTGCATAGATATCTGAGCAACTTGGTGAAACTTTCCTGTAAACGAAAAGTACCGCAAATGCGTTTTTCAAAAGTGACCTTAGTATTATTTCACAGTTCTGAAAAACCTAAAACCATGACTTTTCGATGTACATGTATGCCGATACACATACCTTTCACATTGTACAGACACTGGCATTGTTGTAGTTACTATGCAGAGTCCAAATCAGCTTCAGAGTTTGTGTAAAGGGCCAATCACAGTTTGTGTTGGTAAAGTGGCAAGTTGTATACAGGTAAACTACAACCCGAGAGTAATGTTTGACTGAATTCAGACTACAAAACAGATCCACCTGCCAGTTTCTGTCTTTGCTTACGTTGAATTTTTGTGTTTGGCTCTCATAAATACATCCCCAAAGCAGGCCTAGTGTATCACTTGGCCCGTTATCTTGGCTATCTTGACTTACACTATTGTATGACCAAGCATTGATTCCTACCAACAGATGTAAAACGATCACTAGTAATTGATCTAAAGCTACAAATTCAACAGGGTACTTCTATAGCACAAGATGTTTCCCTACTTTTTGCATTGTAGCACAACAATTTACCAAATTGGAGTCCAGCAATAATTTTCTATTAGTCTTCGTCACATACCGGCTGAACTTTTGATAGTATTAGATTGAGTTTGAAGTTCTTTGAATTAAATCTTTAAATGATGCGAGTTTACATCATTCTATCAGGCATTCTTATTTATACTTGACTGAATTGATAATGTGTTTTGGGGTTATTTTGTAACTAATTTGAGGTAATAGCCATATGGACAGTAACTCTATTAATGCTTGCTAGGTTTAGCCTTTCATTGTTGTAGTAAAGTGAAAAGTCTTTGGTTCAGTGTCAGGAAACAACATAAAACATACCACACGCGTTTGAACGAAGGATTAAAGGTCTGACAAAAGGCAGGTAGCTGAGGAAGTGTCACTGAAACAGCACCGGAGGATGCATGTGTTGGAAGAAAGGAACAACAACAACAACAACAAAAGAACAACAAAATTAACGAGCCAATGAGTCAGTGAAAAGGCTTTTTAAAAATTCAGGTGAATATATGACTAAGAGCCCCTAGAATGCCATTGCAGCCTATGGCAGTATTTTTAATAAGATTTTATTAAAGTTTTATAAGTTATTTTAACAAGACAGGAAAAACTTAAAACTGTTGGGTCACAGCAAGGTGGCTGTTGGAGTTTTGGACCACTTTATAATTAGCTGAAATCCAAATATGTTACAGTGCAGGCCGTTCACGTTGACAATGGTACTAACTTATTTCTCTAGAAACCTTTAGAGTAGATATATTTTTGTCAAAGCACCCCATCCTTCCTCAATTTAAATTTCAATATTGTTCCTGAAGATATTTCTGTATATTAATGGTACCTTTTTTAAAAGAAACAGAAAATTACTTTTTTCTATATGAATTAATATCTTACTTGATCTGCTTTTCCTTGACTTTCCCTTAGAGAGGGGGTAGGGTTGGGTCAGTTTACTGGATATGACTGTTTTCAGATACTTATAAACCTTTTTGTAGATATGCTTAATTTTTAAGCGATTAGGCACTGAGAGTAGCAGAAATCCTGCAAAGCTTTATAGTTCACTAGGCATTTGCCTTTGTTGGTTCTCTGAGTGATGTCTTGATTTCAGTAGCTAGAATTTTCCCTGAATCTACTAGAAGGGGTATCAGTATTTTCAGGTAACAAAGTCTGTTAGCACAACAAAAATTTCAGACCAATATCTTACTGTATTGGGGTTGGGTTTTTCCTTGTTTGTTTTGTTTAAATTTTTATTAATTTCAGCTGCTTTCATTTTGGAAGATCTTATTGCTATTGTGTGTACTTCAGTATACCAGCAAACACTGTTACCCGTTAACACATTGTCCACAAATGCCTCTAGAGAAGAAATTGTTGCACCTTATGTATATCTCAAGCAAACCAAAATATGATGCTTTTCTGCTTTGTTTATTCTGGATATGTTGTATCATACTTTACTGAACCCATTTTAACTTAGCTAAAGCTATCGATATTTATGCATTTCACATTATTTTCTGGATTTGAACCTGTGTATAAATCTTTCTTTAAAAAAAAAGAAAAGCATTTACCGTAGTCGTCCTCTGTGACTTATCCATGGGAGGGGGGAGGAATCTTGTCTCAAGTGTAAAATGCAGTACTGTCCCAGTTTTTCTTGGCTTTTATTTATTTTAGTGATCTTTGATATTTCATATGTAGATTTGAGGTATACAAAATACATTGTTGTAGCCGAAGCTACAGATCTCAGCAGCTGGGAGAAAATTACTGTAATGTCTTCTTAATTGTTCTAGTACTGTATACAAATATGGCAAAAAGGTTCTGCAGAACATTTGAGATGCAGATTCTTATCCCCACAGTACGTTATTTTCCAGATATTAGACCAAATCAATCACAACTCAATGATCTTAAAGGTCTATTCCATTGTAAGTGATTCTGTGATTTTAAAAACATCTATGGAGATTACTTAATGCTCTGCTTATGGCAGTAACTACCCCTTGAATGTGCTGTGATTTCAGAAATAGAATATATTTATTTAAGATAACTGAATGCTCTTTTATACTAATACAATATCCCAAAGTCATGAGCAAGAGACTTCTTGGTAGTTTGGGTTTCTATTTTATAGCATTGGTGCATGACTTTTGAAATGAAAGTGGGAAGCGTTGTTGGAAAGGGGCACAGGAACAAGGGACTTGTAGAAGCGTGTGAACTCGTGGTGTTGAACTTCCAGCTTTGCTCTTTCTTATTTGGGTGAAAGCTGCTTTTGTAGCACAAGGCTGAAGAGCACTCTGCAGTTTGTATCGAGTAGAAACCTAAGAGAGTTGTAACTCGCATCAGAACGGGGGAATGCCTTGTAGTTTGGATGCTGTCTTTCGGAACAGGATACTAAATTGAAGCAGTTCTGATTTCCACTGCCTGTTTAGCTGCTGCACAGATATTGAACAGACTGGAGGCAACGGTTTTAGATGTGGAACAGCTAAGGGAGGATGAAAGGAAAACTGGCCCTTGTTCTCAGTATGGCAAAGTTATGGCAACAAAGGGGAATTACGAAAAAAGATAGATGTATATATAAGTGTGTGTGTGTGTGTGTGTGTGTGTGCCTGGGTGTGTACATTCTGGAAAAAAAAATGCAGGAAAAACAAAAAACATGATGGGTCTACAAGAGACTATAATGTATGTTGACCCTTTGAGTGCACTCCCTTTTTTTGGATGCTGAGTCTAATATGACTACCTCTCCTAAAAGACTACTTTCGTTAACTTCCATTTGCTTTCAGGCTTGATCGTGTAATCTTTTCAGCCATTGATACCGTTTGTTTATCACTGTGTGCTTTACTTTCCAAGAGCAATGTTTATATAGTGCAGACAACGTAAAGGCTGAGTATACAGTGGTGGCCAAACTATGGTTGCTGGAGCGTTTTTGTTTAACCTCTGCCATAGTCATACGGGTTGCAGGACGTGGGCCCGCTAGCTCTCGTTGGTTCGGTGAGGTGGGGTTTTGTAACAGCAGAAAATGCAGTGCTCATGGGGTGATGGACTTCAGATACTGCCAGAGGTGACGCAGAAAGCCGAATGCTGCTCTTGAAACTTATTCTGGAGTTTACGTTTGCAATCCTGATTTCGCAAGGAAACATAACTGTGCAACTTTAGTGTTGTATACCATGCGTTATCCATTAGATGCCGTTTGTTTGCTGTGCTTGGTTGATAGATTGTAGAGCTCCTAGGTGTATCTTTGCCATGTTTTGTAATACTTGTGGCATTCTCCTTACCTTGTACATATTGTGGAAGTGTCACCTCCAGCTGCCAGGATGCTGAGGCACTTCAGGACACTGAGCGCCATGAATGAGTGCGTTTAGGCTGTGAGAGTCACTTGCCTCCTCCCCTGAATTCCCCAAGAAAAAGGCACAGTGAGGTTTTTGCTCTCGCCTAAGGACTATTATAGTCATTTATATACTCAGTATTTTCTACTGAATTGACAACTTTGAAGAAGCTTATGAGATGGATGTATATTATATGTTCCCCCGCTAATTCTTCTAAGGCAGAAACCTAGGAAGACTTGAGATGAGATCTCCACTCAGCAGCACACCTAAGCTTACGCTGAAAACCATCCTTCCTTACGGGGCAGCATTGTTGTTTGCACTGTGACAGTGCAGGAGCCCCACGGACCACTACGCTCTTGGAGTTAAGCTTGGGCTTGCGTGATGTTCCTGGGGGAGGCACGTCATTGTAACCTAGGGCCTTCATTGACATGGAATTTTAAAAATGACTGCAAATAGCTTAACAATTATTGAGTTCTTCCACATAATTATATTGTAGTTTCTGAGTCTTGACTGTTACCATTTACCAGCAGACCCACATTGTACTCTGCTGGAAAAAAAACACATCTGTACAGGCTAACTAACCAGGCTTCCCAGTGAAATGGTCTGATCTACTGTTTTCCCCCCCAACGACTGAAACCTTATTTTCCCACACACACTGCCACACTTCAATCAGTGGTTGGGGCTTTGAAGGTGACACAAGA